TGCGTCCAACTTGACTCTCGATGACAGGGGGAGTACACCAGAGGTGCGGTTTACATAGCGCTCGGTTCGCAAAGCACTCCTCTCCCTGGACATCCACAAGTCTAGTGAGCCTGACGGTATCCCCCCAATTGTGCTGAGGACGTGTGCTCCAGAGTTGGCACCGGTCTTAACGCGTCTTTTCCGGTACTCCTACTCTCTAGGCGTAGTCCCAAAATCACGGAAGACGGCTTTCGTCCACCCGATCCCTAAAAAGGCGACCGCTCAGACCCGTCCAGCTACAGGCCCATAGCCATGACCTCCTTGTTCTCCAAAACAATGGAATCCATTGTAAACAGCCAGCTTATGAGGTACATTGAGAATCACCAGTTGATTAGTGATCGGCAATACGGTTTTCGTCGTGGTCGATCAGCTGATGATCTTCTAGTCTACCTGACTCATAGATGGGCGGCGGCAGTAAAGTCCAAGGGGGAAGCATTGGCCGTTAGTTTGGACATTACGAAGGCCTTCGATCGGGTTTGGCACAAAGCGCTTCTTTCAAAGCTCCCTTCCTATGGGCTTCCCGAAAAATTGTGCAATTGGATCACCAGCTTTCTTGCAGAATGGAGCATCAAGGTCGTTGTAGACGGTGCGAGCTCTGATAACAGGCCTATTAATGCTGGGGTTCCACAAGGCTGCGTGCTATCACCAACGCTGTTTCTTCTGCATATCAATGATATGTTGCAAACCTGTAATATTCATTGCTATGCAGATGACAGCACTGGTGATGCTCTGTACACCGGCCGTGCCAATATTTACCGGGACAAACTTGTGTCTGAAGTCGAGTCTTTGCTGAACAAAGTCTCGGATTGGGGGCGACCAAATCTAGTCCAGTTTAACCCTCAGAAGACACAAGTTTGCGCGTTAACGCCAAAAAGAACCCTTTTGTCGTATCTCTGCAGTTTCAAGGCACTCCCCTTGTTGCCAGCCTTCAGCCAGTATCGGAATCCTAGGCGTCGACATATCGAGTGACGTGCAGTTTCGTTGTCACTTGGAGAAGGCTAAATTGTCCTCTAAAAAGTTTGGCGTACTCAGTAGAGCGGGACAGTATTTCATGCCGATACATCGCCTGCAACTTTACAAGGCGCAGGTTCGCCCGCAAATGGAATACTGTTCCCATCTTTGGGCTGTGGCTCACCAATACCAGCTGCTTCCACTTGACCGCATCCAGCGCAGAGCGGCTCGAATCGTCGACGACCGAGTGCTTTGCGATCGGCTTAATTTACTGGCGCTGCGAAGAGTTGTTGCATCTCTTTGCGTATTTTATCGAAACTGTCACGTGGAGTGCTCTGAGGAATTGTTCGGATTAGTCCCAGCCGCAAAATTTCATGAACGCACTACGCGGCAAACCTCCCGATACCATCCACACCATCTGAATGCTTGGCGGTCCACCATAGTACGTTTCACTAGGAGTTTTCTTCCGCGTACGACCTCTCTGTGAAATAATTTACCACGGGCGATTTTTCCGGACCGATACGACCTGGGAACCTTCAAGAAAAGAGCTTACTCCATTCTAAAGGGCCGGCAACGCACCTGAAATTCCCCTGGTGTTGCAGTTGTTCATGGGCTGCGGTAGTCACTTAACATCAGGTGAACCGTATGATCGTTTGCTCCATCTTCTATATAAAAAAAAGAAAAACACAACTAGACATGTGTCAATCATGAATGATTCGTTCGTTCGAGCTGGTACACTTAAAAATAATTATGGTTCATTCATTTGTTTTTGAATATTCCCATACAATCACAAACAATTGGCGGAACCTTTTTAAGACGTGATTGTGAATGAGTCGAAAACCGACCGAATGATCTGAATGATATTGTGTAGGGTTTTGGAGCCCAAAATGATCCATTTGAATGATCGATCCGAATGTACCGGTACGCGCGACGAAATGTACTAAAATGATTCGGTCACGTGAAATGTATGATTGGCACATGTCTAAACACAACTCTATTAACACATTCATCACCCTTACGATTTTCATGATGTCTTCTCGGATTCCGCCTACATTTTACGCTTGACTCGCCAGGCGAGTCGCCGGCACTGCAATATAAATTGATCGACTCGCCACACGAGTTCACTGGCACTACGTAAGGGTAAATTCTATGTTTTGTAATTTTTGTGGCCGTCACAGTGTACTTAACGTGTTTACGCAATTAAAAAGTGTTTCCGGACTATTCGGCTTGTAAAAATGGCAAAAAACTCTTTGGATAAAATAAAAAGTAAGTTTGTTTCGTAATTTGAGCAGTGGTTGTCAACCTTTTAAATTGTGGTTATCGTTAAGGTTATATTTTGAATTTCTAATACTTGTGAATAGACAATTTTACCCCGAAATAATTTAATACGGGCTTTCAGTTTTAAGAACATGGTATCAGATTAAAATGTATCATTTTGGGTCGGCCTTAGTAATCTGCTGCACGATTTAAGTGACTATTTTAGCTTTAGTTGACAGGCAATGATGCTATTGATTACCATTTAGCTGCTTTTTATGCCGGAAATCTTTATTTTATTCGAGATATCGATAGTTAAAGTTTTGAGGTTATATCGAGTTGGCTAGACATCCGGTACTTGATTTTGATTAATTAAATTACATATAACGAAACGCAAATATTATGTCAGTTTGTTTTTTTTAACACAGATACACTCATAAAAAAGTTAATCACTCAGACCCAAACAATCCTTTTGTGGCTGGAGATGGGACTTATACACAACAAATTGAGTTGCAATGGAGAGCAGTCAAGGCCATCAAAACACGGCAGTCCAGTAAACGTAAGCCAGGTCACAAAGGTAGAGAACAGATAAACGCATGCGATGACGAAAGGGTCGATATTGAAAACAAAGTTTACAGAAGTTTACTAGAGTAGGCAACGACGTCACAAGTAGGAATACATGACGAAATATTTAGTTGCAAGTGCATTCTTGGAGTGCGATTTAACATTAACCAATGAGAGCTTTGTAAAAAACAATGTTATCCGTGCTTTTTTTCTTCAAATACAACGGCGCGCCGGTGTTTTTTTGTCGGCTGTTTTATCAATGCCGACCCTTTTTTTTATTTATTTTCAACCCTATTACAAAGATACAAGATTTATAATATGGCTGCTAGATATGTTATCTCAAATATTACGATAACTTTGTATTTCTAAAGCTTGTTTTAAAAAAAATAATGTCTTGATAGTTTTTCCTAGGACAGAGGCTTTATTCCAAACTGGTGGTATATCAATACGTAATCAAAGAAGAGTGACTTTCGATAAGTAACACATAAACACTCACGCCTGTCACCCAGAGAGGTAGGCAGAGACTACGGACTTCCATTTGGCACGATCCCAATTATTCTAATGAAACTAGTTTGTCGTATATTAGTTCCATATCACAAGTATGTAGGTAGTCCATGCTACTATGTTCACGTCGTTGTGTAACATGTCAAAGGTTGAGGATCTATGTCAGGGAACTCGCCTAGCGAGTTCAAGGCATTGCAGAATAGTTTGTTTCCTTTCAAATTTAAACGGGGTCTCCACACCCGGCCCACCACGTAAATCTTTAGTTTAGCATATATTTAGTCTAAACTATAATTTTAAGCAGAAAATACGGATGCATTTTGGAAATATTAGTGAAAAACACTGAACTCGCCAGACGAGTCGTCGGCACTGGAATAAGATTTACGTGAACTCTCCGGGCGAGTCGGTGGCACTGAATGTGTTAAGTTATAACATACGCCTAATATCTTCATTTATCTATGCCAATATCTGTCCAGGGGACCAAGGTTACATAGACGAAGCGGATAGGTATAATGCGGTGTGTTTCGTGGATACGCTTGTAACTGATTTAGCATGTATAGTCATCGACGAGTACATAAATAAACATGTTGCTTGTTTATTTATGTACGTGTGTATGTTTTATGCTAAATGTGTTTAGAAAAAATTAAGCACATGTTTAATGCATCTACAAGCTACTAGAAATACATGAATAAGACCCAAGGTTTATATATTGGAACAATTATATCATTCACACTGCAGAATCTTGATTAAATCTTACTTGTTAAGGTAATTTTTTTTGTGAAGCTCCAATTTGTCATCGCTACTATATGTAATACATATATATATATATATATATATATATATATATATATATATATATATATATATAAAATAAAAACATTTTGTATCATAAACATTCATATATTTAATTTTTCATTTATTTACAAAATCATGGTTTGGACCACCTTGTATTTATTTAGCTCTGGCTTAAAATATTAAATCATAAAATCTTTCCAAAATTATTCTTATTACAAAAACATTCATATAATATAATTAGTGAATTTTCTGTTTATAACACTTAAAAGCGTCGAGAAAATACATATTGCCAAAAGACATAATATACTGAACTCCGAGATTCAGAATAAAATAGAAGAATATTTTTCTTCCGAAAATCGTCAAATAGTGAATATTATAATATTGTTTATACAAAATAAAATAATTCATTTACAAGAACCTCTATAGAATCTTTAAAATATTGCATAATCACAACACAATGAAATAATTATCAAATTAAATTATATTAATTAGGAACAAATTAACATCAAAAAATGCACAAAGAATTATTTAAGATAAATAGCAATTTAGTGTACTAAAAGTACTGAAGTAATTAAAATAGAAACGAAAGATAAAGCTTCTACAGCAAATATTAATTGATTAACTTGCAACATTGCATGAGACAAATCCTTTAGAGAAATTTATCATAATATTAATTTATTTGCTACGCTTGAACACACAAATCTGATGATTTCGAAAGTAGTTTTGTATTTGAAAATACTTCCGAAAGTCGAAGAAATTCATTCAAATTGAGTAATTCATGACACATTTATAATTGAAGATAAATTTAATCTGTAAATATCAACAAAGGTCATTAGTAATTTTATTCGCAACTAAAAATTATAAAAAAAGATAGAGTATATTAATTAAAATAGAATTTAGTCAATTTTTACAAGGAATTCCTGCACCTCCAGCTTTTGTCGCATTATTGCAGACAGCACCACTTCTGTACTGCAAACAACATTCAAAGTCTTCTCTGATTGCAGTAAATAATACACAAGATGCAAATCGTTGGGGACAGTCAACACCAAGTAACTGTACGGCTTCTGATTGTGCATCTCTTGTATATAGACGTATGAGCGACGGCTCCTTTCAACTTTACCGCCACAAAGTTCGATCATTTCTGTTAAAGCGGCCCTGCCGGGTTTCACACAAGGTGTCAGGAAGAAAGTCACACCTTCAAACAACTTCTTTCTCTGTTCCCCGCACAGTAATACTTCGGACACGTCACATTTAAACATCTTGTTAAATGCTTCATCACGGAGACCGTATTTGGCTTCGTCGGCAAATTTATTTAGTCGCTGACTTTCCAATACCCACTCGGGTGAGAGTAGGTGTTTAACTGTGATCAGGCAGCTGACCAGTTTACACGTACGCACGAGTTTATCCATTATTAAGTGCGTTGCTTCTGCGGCAGACGTAACCACGAGCCCGCCAAGTTGCCTGCGAAGTTAAGTGAATTAAATTGTCTATTGATTTCACAAACCGATTAACGGCAACGCAAGCCACACCATTCCTTCCCGTCGTAAGAAAAGATTATAGGAAATGCCAGAAAGATAAAAATAAAGGCTTGTCCAAACACGCGATATTTTACCAAGGTGTATAATATCTTGTACTTCAAGTGTGACAATTAAGGCAAATTCTCTCGGCAGTGGAGTTTAATCGGCTGATAATTAAGAAAGTTTCTTTTTTTTCTAAAGTTAAGGTGATAAATAGCATGGTAAATGTATGGTATGGACTATAGATTTACATGGTTAATAATAAAAATTCAGATGCTATGTCATTGGATGGTCAACATATAATGGCGGTGTAAGAATATCTACTAACCAATATTATAGTCTCGGGGGTGTTGTAAGAGGTAACAGAGCGAAGCAAATCAGGAGACAGGCAGCAGCGTCTTCCTTATAACGATTAGAAAAAAAAACAAAATACGGTTACTAGCCCGCCCGCCAAGTGTGGCAAATATTTAATAAAACCTCCCTTTGGAGGCTTTCTATGGACAGGCCTGTAGTGTAGTATAGTTTAGAATAAAAGCAGTACAATTAAAATATTTACACATAATTAGTACAAATAATTTTATATGTGGTAGAGCCATGCTGCAGTTATATTAGTAGTATAGTTATAGCACGAATGGGTCGGCTCGACCGGGGAAGGACCACGCTCTCACAGAATACCAGCGTAAAATGGTAGCTTGATGCTGCTGTGTTTCGTATGGTGAGTGTAGAGAACCGGAGACCCTTTTTACTGGAAATGAGGCATTCCATCTTAGTCCTCACGGGTGACAACGCATCTGCATTTTGATTCGTAATCGAAGATAGATGTGGATGTCTATGGGCCACAGCAACCACTTACCATCAGGTAGACTGTGTGCTCGTTTGTCACTCTATCCTATAAAAAAAAACAATTAGAAAAAAAGCAAGAGTAACATCATCATCATTACAGCCTTTCATAAGTCCACTGCTGAACCTAGGCTTCCCCCCGAGGTATGCCACAAAGCACGGTCCTGAACCACCTGCATCCATCTACTTCCTGCATGTCTTACCAGGTCGTCACTCCATCTAGTGGGGGGTTGCCATACACTTCGCCAATCAGTATGAGGCTGCCACTCGAGAACCTTTGTACCCCAACGGTTGTCGGTTCTTCGAGCCATATGGCCGGCCCATTGCCACTTCAGCTTAATAATCCGTTGGGCTATATCGATCACTCTGTCAAGAAAGACAGAACCCCACGTACATCCGAAATGACGCTGCTATGCATTATGCTCGACTTCGTGACACGAACCCACGCACTTTTCTCTTTATCACTTCGTAAAAGTGAGTTATTGGACGCACACATATGTTTCTTAAACCACGTTGGTTGCAAACGATTTTAGAAGCATAAAGGTCACGTCATGTTAAAAGAACGCTAGCGGTCAAGTTGCGCATTGGGCGATTCATGGGTCTATTTGGTGGCATGAGGTGCGGGGCGGGCGCTATTCGTCAGTCGACTTTTGCTTTGCGCACTGTGTCCACGTTAAGGTAAGTCCACACGACGCGTTGAGTCAGCGTTGCGTTGACGTTGCGCTGTCACTGCGTAGTTTTTCATACTAGTAAGTTATTAGTATGTATATATAGTAATAACCATGATTAAATGACTATTACTAAACATGACTGCCTCGTTGGACTAGTGGTTATAGTAGTGCGACTGCTGATCGTGAGGTCCTGGGTTCGAATCCCGGGTCGGGCCAAAAAATTAATTATTGAGTTTTTTCGTCAAGACATTCTCAGTAGCTGCCCGGAGTCAGGAAGTTGGCGGTGTCTCACCCCCGTGCCTCGGAAAGTGCACGTAAAGCCGTATGTCCTGCGCCTGATCTCTCTCTGGTCGTGTCGGTTTACCGTCCCATCGGATTATGAGAGTGAGGGAATAGAGAGTGCACCTGTGGTTGCGCATACACTTGGGCACTATAATCCTGTCCTGCGCCGATGGCTAGCCTCCGTTGAGGCTGGCCGCCGTGGCCGAAATTTGGTCTGGAGGATTATTATTATTATTAATAACCATAGTTTTGACATGGTGCGCTGCGTTGACGCAACGCGCACACGGCTGACTGAAAGCCCTCGAGACGAAGGGGAAGGGAAGTACTGCTTGCAATTCCTGAGCGGCAGTGCACAGTTGTTAGTGCGTTGATAGCACGCAAGCTAATTTTGTTTTTCTTAGATTTTAATTTGAAGAGTAAAATGAGTAACTTTAAAGAAAATGATATGGATTACTTGCGATGACGCAGCGCCAGGGTGGCCGGCAATGCGTCAAAATATCTGCGTTGCGACGACGCAGCGCAACGTAACGCTCCGTGTGGACTCACTCTTACACGTTTTATATGTTCGTTCTCAAAATACTATCGCGATCAAAAGATTTTAATTTCAAAATGGTTTAACATAGAAATTTGAAAAGATGATTTATGACGTACATTGTTTTATGAAAAGGAGGCTGATAATAATGCAGTTTATAATTTAAAACAAAGTATGAAACGGCCCACAGAGGCAACTTTCTTAATTCTTCTAAACTTCCAGCAAAAATAAAAGAATCCATCAAAAACCAATAACAGAAAATGATAGCTTTGACCAGGGCGTTGTTAAAAAAACTCGTCAACAATTTCCACTTGAATTGCCTACCATAGGCAAGTTGCGAAGCAAGTTAAAGGATGACCTACATATTCAAGGATCTGCAGCAAGTGTCAGGCAAATATAAAAAGAAAGGGTTCTTAATGAAAACAAAAACAGAAACCAAAAAATAAAATTTAATCGAGCAGTCATAAATTCGATTTCAAAGAATTGAATATATGAGAAAGATAAAAAAATAGAGAGGAAGATTTACACTGATGAATCATACGTCGATAGTTCCTGTGCGTCTCACCATTCTTGACAGACGTTCCCACCAAAGCATTAAAAAACCTGTATCAAAAGGTTGCACGCGGGTGGTGAAGCAGGTTTTGTGCCGAATGCCTTGCTGACGTTCAAAGCCGGTACAAAAAGCGGGGATTACCACGACAAAATGAATTCGGAGAACGAGTGGTAGCTCCGTACTAAACTGACGCCAAATTTGCCGCTTAATTTAGTCATTGTATTCGACAATGCATCGTACCACAACAAATTAATGAATCGATGCAGCACCAACATCCAATACAAAGAAAGCAGACATGCAAATTTGGCTTCGTCGAAAAAGAATTGATTTTAAAGAAATCATGCTAAAGCCAGACAACTAAATAAAACTTCAACTTAATAAAAAAATACAAAGAGATATTTAAGAAATTTAATATCAATGCCATATTAAATGAAACAGGTCATTTTGTAATTGGTTTGCCCCTCATCATCATCATTACAGCCCTTCACAAGTCCACTGTTGAACGTAGGCCTCCCCCCAAGCAATGCCACAAAGCATGGTCCTGAGCCACCTGCATCCATTGACTTCCTGCATGTCTTACCAGGTCGTCACTCCATCTAGTGGGGGGTCGCCCTACACTACGCCTACCAGTACGAGGCTGCCACTCGAGAACCTTTCTTCCCCATCGGTTATTGGTTCTTCGAGCCTTCGTTTGCCTTATAGCACCTGAACCTAAATCCTATTGAAATGGCCTGGTCCCAAATAAAGGGATTAGTTTAGTTTAGTTTACGATGGGCTGTTTTCCGCAACTCCACGGCTAAGCGCGTATTTTGCGTGTGGGAAGGAATTATGTGGTTATTCGAGCCATGATATTTCCCCGAAGAAGTTCAACAGTCCTTTAATGTCCTTTGATGTAACTTCGGTGAGCGATCCCGGCGTGCCGAGGTGTTTATCCCTGTATGAAGCGACTTCTGGACATGTCAGCAACACATGAGCCGCCGTTTCTTCCTCTCCCATGCACGCAGGGGGCTATCAGTAATCACCAATGGTAAACAAATGTTTGTTAAAAGAGCTATGTCCTGTGATAGCACTTGTTACTATCCTGATCTGTGGCTTGTTAAGTCTCATTAGAACCTTGGTTAGACAACTGTTTATTTCACAAAGCTTGTCTACAGTCTACAAAAAAATTTCCAAAGCTGAGCGTGTAAATTATTGAGATATCTACGTACCAGTGAACGAACATAGCCAAAGGGGAGGGGGACCCTATAGTAGCCAGAGCCGATCCCCTTCTGGCCAGTTCATCTGCTGCATCATTGCCTCTAGATCCACTGTGTCCCTTGATCCATTGCGGAGTCACATTGTTGTGCTTACATACCTCATTCAATCTTTGATGGCACTCATATAACAGTCCCGAGTTCGCCACATTGCAACTCAGTGCTTGTAGTACCACCATACTGTCGGTCAGTATTCTGATGGAGAAGTCTTTCCCTTCCTAGCATCTATTGCTATGGCTGCTTGGATGATACCCATGCTTTCAGCCTGGAAGACTGTGTTATGGGTACTCAGCGGTGTGCATATGTGGATATTAAGGTCTTCAGAGAAAGCCCCAGACCCCGCACCTTCATTTGTCTTAGAACCATCCGTGAAAACTTTGAGCTCTTTAGGTCCCAATCCTTCCAGCTGGTCAGTTTCCTTCAATTTTATCCTGTACTTCTTATCGAATAAAAATTGTTTTGGGATCATATCATACTTGGCTTCTAAGATAGAAATTTTTGAGTAAATTCCATCAATTACACCTGTATGGGGGACTCTACTCTTACTTAAAAGATTTAGGGTCTTGAGTCTAATGGCAGCTAAAGTTGCTTCTTGTTGTATATGTAGATGAAGCGGTGTTAGCTCCAATATAGCCTTTAAAGCTGCTGTTGGTGTAATTCTTACGCAGCCCGTGGCAGCCATACAAGCCAATCTCTGGTAACGCTGAAGCTTTTGTATAGTGGTGGCTTCATTAGTTTTGGTCCACCATACCAGAGAGCCATATGTGATCATGGGCCGAATTACAGTTTTGTACAGCCACAGTATAATTTTTGGCGTCAAAGACTCATCGTTTGCCAATCATGTTTCTGGATTGCATGAAAGTTAAACTAGCTTTGCTGATTTTGTTGTCTATGTGTTTATTCCAGTTAAGTTTACTGTCCAAGGTAAGACCTAAGTATTTCACCTCGGAGGACAACTGGAGTTTCGTGCTGAAAAGACTTGCGAGATTATAGTTATTCAGTATTCGTTTTTGTGTGAACATTACTAAAACCGTTTTGTTTGGATTAACGGTTAGGTCATATTCCCTGCACCATCTCTCCACAATACGGAGAGCCACTTGGGTCAGGTCGCACACAATGCTTGCTGTCTTTCCAGAGACCAGTATTGTCAGATCATCTGCATAATCGACTGTGTAGAAATGATTAGTGTTTAATTTGCTGATGAGTTCATTAATGACAATGTTCCACAGGAGAGGTGAAAGAACCCCACCTAGCGGGCATTCCTTCATGATCTGAATTGTCTGAGATTCACCAGCAATCTTTATTGTTCGTATACTGGGCATGTTTAATATCCAGTCAATGAGTGCCGGTTCAACATTATGTCTACTTAGGGCACCTTTTATGCTGGAGAAATTTGTTCTGTCAAAAGCACATTTTATGTCTATGAAGGAGCCTACACATATTACTTTGTTTTGGATGGCCTCTTCGATCTTTGTTATTACATGGTGAAGTTCCGATTCTGTCGATTTACCTATACTATAGGCGTGTCGTTTTTTGTGTAGCGGTAAATTAATTAGCGCCGACCCTCGCAACTCCAGTTCACACATCCTCTCCGTCGTTTTTAGGAGAAAGTATGTGAGGCTAATGGGTCTGTAGGATTTAGGGTCTGTATAGTCGTTCTTATCTGGTTTGGGTATGAACATGACTTTCACTTCCCTCCAACTTACATTTTTGTTGGTAAATAAAGGGATATGTCACCAACAAAAATGTAAGTTGGAAATTTACACGGATAACTGACCTGGTAAATGAAAAAGTGAATTTAATGGGAGCAACAGAATGAGGGAAGTTTTGCATCAAGGTAAAGGAAATACAGGCCGATTATTGCAAAAGCGAACATGTTGGTCGACATGATGACAGAAACATTTATTATTACACATAGGGTATATATATATATATATATGATATATATATATATATATAGTGACAACAGCGGCAATGATGAAATGGCCACCTCTAGCACCAACACCGCGTCCTCATCTGGTTTTTACGTTGTAGTGTATGCTCATGTATATATATACGATAGAGTAAGAGACATGCGAGAGCATTAAATCTACAGCCAAGACCATTAGACATGTTATTTATTGCCCGAACCTCCCAACATTACAACATCACCGATGATAGTTAATGGAAGGAAGTTTCAACATTACTTTAATTATTTTAATTAGATTAAACATTCTATACTGAATCAAACAAATTTTTAATTCCATTTAATGATATTCTATCTAATATATTTTTCAAGGTAACCAATATAGGAAGCCGCAAGCGAAAGCCTAGTTCAAAAATATAACAATAGGGTTAGTACATTCGTGCGCGAGTGTACCCATGCGCAAACATACCTCATCCACTTTCTTTCAGCGTTCTTTTTCGCGTACTATATGTGTGCATAAGATTTCGGCTTCCCTTAAAATGTGTGTAGTGTAGTAGGTAATAATAATACAGGGGCCGTGTTCTGTGGGTTTTTGTAAGATAAAACCTTTAACGTTGTGAATGATTAAGTATGATCTACATGCGTGTGTGCATATTAATTTGATCAATATTAGGTTATTCATTAGGCTGGTAGAAAATGCCATATGGCAAAACGTTCACCTACGTTTAGTACAAGTGTTAAATAAATAAATGGTTGTGTGCGCGCACCTGACGATGGCGGCGAGGCGCGTGTGCTCGTGCGCGGGGACACCGGAGAACAGCACGCGCGGCGCCAGCTGTAGCGGGGGGTGCGCGGCGGGGGGCACCGGGCTCGCAGCGGGGGGCGCCGCGGGGGGCACGCTTGTATCGGGGGGCTCGAGGCGCGGTCGCTTGGCGCGCCGCGCGCCACTGGCTGCCGCCGCGCTGCGCTTCGCCCGCTCATGCGACTCCTGCGTTATGTTGATCGGCATCTTCCACGCGTCTGTAATTAGTGTCCTTGATAAGGAGTAACTTTGATAAGCCGTGTTGTAGCAGTGTAAGAAAATCCGCATTAATATCCCCGTATGCCATGAGTAATATATGCGAATAGCATAAGCGACAGTAGCTTTCGAATATAAGCTTTCGAACCGCGAAGTCTCAAAAAATAATAGGTAGTAGGGTTCGAATCCGCCATTCGACTACTGGCGTGAATCACTCGTAACACAAGCAATTTAAGCTTACCACGAGTGGTTAAGGGGAATATTAGTAATGTTTATAGCATTGGTAATATTCTTTTAAAGAATGAATGTCTTAAAAGGGGACAGAGAAATCGCCTCACACTCACACTTACCCCTCATGCGTGTGATTTACATTCAGTAGTAATTTTGATAAGCTGTAATGAACGAATGAACGTGCTATCCAAATGATTTTTTCTACAAAATAAATCAATTCGGAGGATATTATGCTTGTCACTGTGAAATTAGTAAAGTTACAAAAACCTGTGCCAGACAGAAGGACATATAAAAATACATTCCACTGCTGGAAATAGGCCTCCTTTCATTTGTTAAAGGATTTTAGAACAGATATTTTTTTTTAAATTTTAAAACAGATCATATACTTACTCATTAAATGTGAAACTAAGCTGTAGTCAATTCGGAACGGACTTGCCAAATTAAACTGCTGATACTTGGCATTTTCAATCTGTGGATAAAATCAGCGTGTTATATTTTTGGGCGTTTATCAATTAGCAACAAAAAAGGAGCTTGTGGATATAGGATATGTAAAAACACTGTCCGATCCAAAAATAATTAATATTATGAATGAACATAAAATGTGAAAAAATCACATAAAAAAACCTACCCTCAAGGATCAGACAGGATTGTGGAGATCCAGAGGTCTGATATCCAGGCAGCACTTACGACGGACACGCTTCGCACGTACGCACACGCACGCGCACACACACACGCACACACACACATACACACACACACACGCACACGCACACATACACACACACACACACACACACACACACACACACACACACACACACACACACACACACACATACACACATACACACATACACGCACGCACGCACGCACACACACACACACACACACACGCGCGCGCACGCAAGCACGCACGCACGTACCTGCGAGAGCGCACTCATGTTGCCGAGTAGTAGGTCAGTAACCCAGGCGGCGCTCACGACGGGAACGCCCCACTCGCGAGCGCGCCGGTACTTGGCGCCCTCCGCACGTTTGCACACCAGAACTGTGTTGTCGCGTGACATGTACGGCGTTAACTGCAATTGAATATAAATATTATTAAAAAAAACTATTAAATATAATTATCATAGATTACAATGCTCTAGAACATTATGGTATATGTGGAATAGGATATAAAAATACCTTTTTATCCAATATCCGTCTCCAATAAATCATGATCTTCAAGACACATTTTATGAATCGCTCGGCAGCAAATTTTCAAGATTTTACGAACAATAGTCAGTCTCGTGGCGCCGACAAGATATAGATAGGGCCAATCCGAGATCGGGCTATTGGCGCTGGCAGTAGTTTACCGGTCGCAGACAGGCAGTAGTTACATTGGCACCGACGAGATTTTACCGGAAAACGAGGCCTTGAGTGTGATACCTTGGCGATAACAGGGCGAAGTCGAAGCGGCAGGCGAGGAAGTAGTGCGGAACGTCGGCGCTGACGGAGAAGGAGGTGGCAGGTACACCACCTGCCAGGCGGTGCCACGTGGCGCGCGGTACCTTGGCGCCGACGAGGTCCAGGCAGCAGGCGAGGCGGCGCCGTTCGTCACGCCGCCAGCCGGAGAGCGCGGCGCGGTGGTGTCGCGCGGGACGGTCGCGCGGCGCGTGCATGCCGGGCAGGTGCAGCGCCTGCCACGGCGGCGCTACGCCGCGCCGCTCCCTCGCATCCGACAGCCAGTACGCGGTCACGCACCGCTTCGCGTCGCGCAGCGCCTGAACGATTACATTCATTATTTATTTATAAAAATGTCCTTCTGGGCTCCTTGCTAGGACAGAAGTTGGTTTTCCAAAGCGATAGAATATCGAGCGCCGCATTTCACCTTCTTCAATATCATCGCACCCTGGTAGCGAACGCTCAGACAATGATGCATGCTTCTTTGTCGGACTCTAATATAACCGAACAGGCTAGCGGAGAGCAAAAACCACCTAGCTTTATTTAACAACGACAAAACGAAGCCGAGAACACGAGTTTGAGGAAGAATTTAACACGTTTAATGGTGAAATTAAGAACATGATTACATCACTATTCGTTGCACAACAAGCTGAACTGAAAAAGATTGTAACAACTCAAACTGAAATCCATCATACTAACAATTGCATACAAGAGTGTCTTGATTGTGTCACAGCCCTAAATGAAGATCTGAAAAATAAAGTGGAACAGTTTGAAATTCAATCAAGAAAAGATTTACTATATAGATACATTACAATCCTTGAGGATAAAATCGAGGACCTGGAGCGAGTAAATCGCAAATCTATTATCGAACTCAAAAACGTGCCTCTAATTACTAACGAATCTAAAGATCTCACAAAAATGGTAACGTGCCTCTTTAAAAAAACATTCATTGCAACATTAGAAAGGAAGACATCAAGGATATATATAGAATGCGTGGCAAGAAAAATTCCAATAAAATCTCATACATCGTGGTCGAATTTTCGTCAATATTACAGAAGACAGATATCTTAAAAATGTGCAAACTCTTTAATATTAAAAATAAAGAAAAACTGCGAGCTAAACACTTAGGAGCCACCAAAAACGAAGAAACATCCATCTTTGTGACAGAACAATTAACTGCTCGAGGCGCTCGTATACACTTCATTGCCCGTGACTTCGCAAGATCAAAAGGATATAAGTTCTGCTGGACTGCCTTTGGACATGTGTATCTTCGAAAGGGAAAAATCACCTATCATTCTTGTTAGAAGCGAATCGCAGGTACACAATCTAAAATTATCAAAATGACTAGATGTTATTATATTTATGTTAGTACTTCTTTTATCTGAGCCGTGGTAGCTCAGATGGTTAACGCTCGCAGTAAATATAACAGAACGCGAGTAACTCGGGTTCGATCCCCGCCGGCACCAATGTAATTGTTAATTGACATAGACATAGACATGCATTTATTCAGCAACTTACACTCATACAGTTTTGATACAGAAAATAAAATAATACATAAAAACATCAAAGATAAAAGTAAATAACAAAAACAGTCATAAAATGATCCAATTGCATGAGTGATGTGATGCTGAAAAGGGCACTGACTCAACATAATGCTATCGCAGGATTGCGGTAGCGTTGGTTTTCAGCAATGCCCATTGAGGTTGGACTCGCCTGCGAGGAATAGTATGTTCGCTTTATTTCTATTTTCGAGAAAGATGTTATCAAAATAATAAAATAAAATAATGGTAATGAAAAAGGATGGGAACTTTATTTATGCAGTAGGTATATATAAATGTATATAATAAATAATTTAATTTTCCAATACAATGTAATATTGTTCTAAGGAATAAATGACTATGACTATGACTAATTGCAATTTTAAGTGCTGATTTACCACGTGCTCGGCGGTGAAGGAAAACATCGTGAGGAAATCTGCACGTCCGAGGAATAAGAGAAAAAAAATATTTCGAAGACATGCGAAGTTCGCCAACACGCATTAGGGCAGCGCGGCGGACACTTCCTTGCCCTAAAACCCCCCAGAAATGAGGGGGAGACCTGTGCCCAGCAGTGGGACGTATATGGGCTGTAACTTTACTTTACTTTTACTTCTTTTATCTTATCACGAGTAACGGTTTTAATAAGCTTTAATGTAAAATTTTCACACATATCACACACTCAAAATACACACATATATATAGCTAATCATTACACTCAATCAGCCTAAAACTAAGCCCTTAAGTTCACCTTTTAACCTACCTGAAAATATTAAAACCTGCGTTTATTTGCAGTTTACAGAAAAACCTTAAACTTATAGCACCACCATCATAGCATTTACCTATAATTTTTATTATTGCATGTCGGAACTGATGAACTATCTACACTGATGCCAGTTCACGTGTTAGACTTTGTTATAGTGTCGCAGAACATCCGGAGCATCTACGCTAATTTAGCTGACTTTCAGCTGAACCTGTGCGACTTCAAAACAAAAGTAGATTTAATTATTCTTACAGAATGTAGACTCCTATACAGTATATATAGTGACAGAATGTAGAATATTGATAAACATATTCCGCAAATCAACTCATTTATTTCATTTAATACAACTAAACACTTAAATCAAGCTGATGGAGTTGTTGTTTTCATTAGATACAATCGCGGCTTCAGTAATTGAAATAAAACTTACCCATGCGTCATGCTTACAAATTACAACAACTGATCTAATTATTATTATTGGCATTTATGGTTCTCCGTCAATTACAAACGCTGACGACTTTATAAACTCTTTAAATTCACACCTCAATATTTTAAATGACTGCAGAAATGTGATTATTACAGGCGACATAAATATAAACTTAATACTTAAAACTTATGAAACAGCACAAGAGCGCACTAATAGAACAAAATATCTTATTATGCTTGCCATGCATGGAATGCTACCCGGACATCTCCTACCAACAAGATTGTCTTGATCATTTTATAATAAAATTTAGTAATGGCTATAAAACAGCGTCCATTGCAGTTATTGACTCCAGTATCCGACACCACTTTACAATCTTGCTTAAAATATCAAATCTAAAAATCAATTATAAAAACAAAACTAAAATAACTATAAACTATGAGGAAGCACTTAAAACTCCAAAAACCACAGACTTATCCAACTTATTAATGACCCAAAATTTCATAGTAGAGCAGCTCACATTAACTATACAGCAGTGTCTTCAATCAAACATGAAACAGCTTCGGTTTCTAGAAAGTATAGAATAATCAAACCTTGGATTACCCTGGAAGTTCTCCGCTGCATTAAAAATAGGAACGATATGCAACGTAAGATAAAATTAAATCCAGAAAACGATATCCTCAAAATTACCAAGCTACGATAAAAAACCTAACTATTAGAAAACCAACAAAAAAAAAAAAAACTATGGCAGACCATCGATTGTCTTACTCAACACAAACCAGCCAAAGTTCAAAGTCTGGATCTTTTGAAATTAACTTTATCCTCCCAGGAATCTGCTGACACAGTTAACAACTGTTTTGCTACGATAGGGCAACAGTTAGCCGAGGATATACTTAAAAGTACAACGCAACAAGCTACTGATTCTCACATTAATACTCAAATTTCATCTTTTGTTATTTTTAACACCAACCGTGAAGATATATATAGTCTGCTCATGTCCATGAAATCAGACAGTGCCCCTAGGTATGACAATATACTAGCTCACTTTTTAAAAAGCGCTTATAAAGAGGTAATACCAATTCTTGTTCACCTAGCTAATCTTTGTTTTGAACAAGGTGTCTTCCCGTCGGTTCTTAAGCAGGCTATTATCACACCTGTATACAAACAAAGGAGGTGACAAATTCAATCCTTCAAATTATAGACCGATTTCGGTAATATCTGTAATAGCAAAGATACTCGAGAAATTAATAAATATAATATTAATAAAGTTTTTTTTTCTAAATTAAACACACTTTCACTATCACAATTCGGCTTCCGTCAGAATTTATCTACGGAAGACGCAATTATTGCACTAACTTCCCTCACGGTAAACCATGTTGATTCCGGAAGAAAAGGTCTAGCTGTCTTCATAGATTTAAAAAAGGCGTTTGACACAGTTTTTGTGCCTATTCTAGTACAAAACCTTCACGATATTGGTATTAGAGGTATACCGCTAAAACTACTTGGTGACTATCTCAACAATCGTAAAACTCGGGTCAAAATCGGCTCAATTACTACCTCTGAGTCTACTGTCTCTTATGGCGTCCCGCAGGTCAGTGTGTTGGGTCCCAAGTTGTTCTTGGCCTACATCAGTAGCTTGTGTAATATGTAGATAGAGGGTGGTAACATCTTCTCATATGCGGATGACACAGCTATTGTTTTCTTTACTGATAATTGGGAGCAACTTATAAACTACATTATTGTAATAATCATTTGGTCTCGGATTACTCTTGTCCTGAGTTAAAAAAAGTTTTTAATACGAGATACCTTGGAGTCATGTCGGATCAGCGGTTGTCCTGGCATTATCATATAGAGTTACTCATTAGCAGAGTTAGGAAACTAATCTGGTCATTTAGGACCCTGCGTCATGTAGAATCTGTTATCACCTACTGCATATCAGTTTGGGGAGGTGCGACTAGAACTAGTTTCTTAAATCTGGAAAGAGCACAATGAGTTCTTCTGAAAGTAATGTTCTTCCCGCCATACAGATCACCAACGGATAGCTTATATTTAAAAAGCGGTATCTTATCGGAAAGAAAGCTGTACCTACTGCGTATTGTCACGAGAAAACACAAATCAATTTACTACGACCCAAGAAAAAGTAATCGTAGGACGATAGTTAACGTTGTTCCACAGCCCCGGGTTAAATCGGTATTTGCAACAAGGCAATCCAACTACTGATCATTGGAAACATGCTTCCACGAGGATTAAATATTATGTAACGACTAATAAGGAGATAGCATCTACGACAACACAAACGTCCTCGTATACAATATTACGAAGACAATAGCAGAAAGTGAAAAAGTTAAAAAATACTTTTTTAATAACGACAGTCATTAGCTGATCATTAGTGAGTGTTTCTGTTTACTTAAATTACTTCTGTGTACTCATTATATTCTACTTCTAATCCTTTGCTAGACAATAAATATCGGACATTATTTGATATTTAGGATCCGTCGACCCACCGGCAGCCGACGAGGGCTTGTACCATCTCTGTCTCGTGAGCGACTATTATTCCACGTGTAATATAAAATCATACTACTTATACGTATCAAAATTCACTTCAAACCATTACTTTGCTGAAATTTGAATTTTGCCCCCCTAGGAATTCTTCAATTCAAATGCCCCCTCCCCCCCCATAATACGCGGGGCAGCCTGAGCATGCACGCTCAGGGAGAATAGGGTAACTTGGTCGTGGATGCTCAGCGAGGGATTCCCCGTCACTAGGGATGCTAGTACCCACCCTCTTGGGGTAGTTTTTTCATTAATATGTTAGGGGGGGGGGGATGGGCATCTGGCCACCTGCACTTACTAAGCGAAGCGCAGAGGTAAATTATACTTCGCGCGGGTATTTTGTGAGGTCATGGTACCACCAAGGTACGAACCGGCCCATCCGTGCGACAGTAAAAGCTGTCGCGTGGTTCTACCACTGTTAAAAAAAATCCTCCCCCAATCGCGTGCACTATACTCGTCACCACTAATCCCAGCACCACCACTCCCAACTCTACTACTAGGAAAGACACCGTAAGATGAGGTGCAGGCTGTCACCTGCATGACGACGCCGTGGCGCTGCGTCTCGCAGAGTACGTGCGTGACGCGCGCGCAGTAGCCGGCCTCCACCTCGCCGCCGCGCCGCTGGATCGCTTCCGCCCACTTGGCCACGCGCTCCGCGCCCACCGACTGCTGGTACTCCACCTGCACCGCACAACAACACCAAACGTCAAAACAAACCCAACCACCATTCACAAGTTAGTTTAACTTAGCACAAAGAGACAAATATTACTTACAATCCATTAAAATGAGGTGATACCTCGAAAATTTGGTGGTTTTTCTATTTAATATATTTTTTTAAGTTTTATAGACTACAAACCAAAAATTTGGTATATGATTTTTGACTATATATGACCTTGGATTGTATAAAAGGAAAACACGATATCATGTAATTTTCTCGATAGAAAAAAATTGCAAAGTAGGCTCTAATTATTTACATTTCTCCATGACACCACAATATTTTTACGAATAAGTTCATGGAATTATTTTTAAGGCATAGTAAATAACCATATCTAAGTTCTCATAAACCATTTTTTTTTCAATCAATAACGAAGTTTAGATAAAAAAATAAAAATGTAGTTTGGCGCTTACTTAGCTTTTTTCCGAGCGTGTGCTCGGTATAACTATCTCATAATTTGCATATTATGAAGTCATTGCATCACATTCATTTTGAAACTCCCTCAGTCGTTCGTGAGCTTCACCAACAAAGGAATAAGCCACGCCCCCAAAACTACAATTCAATTACAAGTTTTCCTCTTAACTATTTATATTGTTATCGTTACATATATAACTAAATGGAATGCTGCATGAGCGCACTGCGGTGACCAATTAAAAAGGCTCTGGCGTCACCTCATCATATTCAAAGGCAGATTCATCCAAATAAATCACACCATTTAAATTAGTGATAGAAAGCATCATTACCATTACCATTACCATATCATACTATCATACTTTTATACGTATATAGTAGAGTTACATAGTGGTTACATCATTGTTGCAGTAAGAATGAGTCGGCTTGATCGAGGAAGGTCTGCATCGTCACAGAATACCACGTAAAATAGCAGTTTATGCTGCCGTGTTTCATATAGTGAGTGTAGAGAACCGGAGACACTATTTACTGGAAATGAGGCATTCCATCTCAGTCCTCAGGGATGACAATGCATCTGCATTTTGATTATAAATTGATGATAAATGTACATGTATATGAGCCACAGCATATACTTACCAAATACTCATAATATAATTAATAAAAATGTTGTTAAAGAAACGTAACACACTATTATATTTTCAAAGATTTATTTATGAAAAAATAACTCACGATATGGAAAACGCAGCCGAGCAGGAAAAGGTCGGGCGGCAGCTTGAGGTTCGGGTTGTGTCCGTAGAACTGCGCGCGCGGGGGCGCGGCCCGCACGCCGCCCGCCGCGCCCGCGCCCACGCCCACGGCGCCTGCGTACACCTTGTTACCCACCACGCCTGGCACTCCAGCCTGTCCAGTCGAACAATACATTGATTTGTAAGTTTTTTCTTCTCGCTTTCCCGCAGTCTGTGGGAGTGATTTCGTGTAAAACAACGAAAGTGTGTAACAGGAAGCCGCGGAAGCGTGCACTATTTGAATTGACCAATGAGCGCGCGCGGTGGTTGTAAAGTGTGCTGTTATATAAACTAATTTATATGTGTAAACTATATTAATAAATGTATTTACTGTAATAGTAAGTGTCTGAAAATATTGTAGATTAATGATAAGACATGTAAGTGAGTACTAATGAACAATTATTCTATTCTAACATTTAGCTTTTATAAATTTTCAGGTTAATTTCTGTCGCTGTTCAATTGATATTTTTAATTTTGATTAAAAAGTGTTTTTTTTTTCAGAATATAATGTTAATTTTGCTTATTACCACGGTGAGTTGTCAGATGTTACACATCGTATGCAACAACTGTAAGCTTCACTCGTTTTTCTTTTATTAATTCATTAAGGTCAATGTGGGGAAGACCGTATACAAGGTAACTCCGTCTACACGTCGTTACTCTGGTTTTTGGTTATCTATGGAGCCTATCTCTCGATCGGTAAAACAGTATAATGGTTTAGTTCGAATTGAAAATCATAGATGTCGCTATAAGTAAATCAGCGGTAGAAAATTCACTTCCTGTTTAAGTCGTGTTGTGAACTCCAATCTCAAGTGACACGTGTTGCGAAAAAAAAAGAAAAAAGTGCTAAATCAAACGAACTGAAGCGTCGAGTGCAGTAATGTAAGTAGTTAAATAGGCCTTATATATATATATATATATATATATATATATATATATATATATATATATATATATATATCTTTTATTGAATTGATCAATAACGCTAAGAATTTTGTAATATTAAGTGTAGTAAATATCTAACCTTAAAATACAATAGTTGGGAAGACCGTATAAGACCCGTAAGGTAAGCCCGTCATATGCCGGTCTTGCCTCGAAGCACATATCGTCAACATTTTTTACCTAGCATGTATATGTTTTCCTAAATCCTTATATTTACATTAAGATGGCCAGTCGGTATCCGTATTACAGTTGACTAATAAATCTAGGTAATTAATTTTTAACAGAGAAATCATTTTTTTTTCAGTAATCTTTGCAAGCAATCATGGTAAGCAATTACAAAAGAAAAACGAACAAAGGATCATATTCGAAGGAAAAGTTACGAGAGGCAGCACAAGCTGTTAAAAATGGGCATCTGAGTGGCTATAAAGCTGCGCAAATTTATAATATCCCTCGCATGACTATTATGGACTAAGTGAAAAACAGGAGATTTAAATCAAATTCTCTTGGCAGAAGCACTGCACTGACTTTGGAAGTTGAAACAAAATTAGCTTCGTTACTACGTTCAATGGAAAAACATGGTTTTGGCTTGACAAGAAAAGAAGTCCTAGAAATGGTTGGCGAATATGTAAGCCGTAATCTCGTATCGACGCCTTTCAAAAACGGAACTCCAAGTCAGGCGTGGTTTACTGCGTTCAAAGAACGACACCATTTGTCAGTGAAGAAACCCAAGGCTGTTAAATACGCGCGTAATAAAGCCATAGACCTATTTATAGTTTATCCATATTTTAAATTGTTTAATAATTAAAAACCAACCAAAGATGACTAACCTAAACAAAAAAGAAAAAAGAAAACACATAGAAAAATGGCTTCTAACGAATCGACAGCTGACGTTACGAGTGACGTCTTATCTTCTCTTCTTTATTTTGGACGGATTTAAATGTTTTTTTGACTTATCAACAGGCAAAAATCAGTTAAATCCATAGAAAATAAAATCTCATTTAGTAATGTCGGATGAATGTGTAATCAGATCATATCAGTTATTAGTAATTACTGCAAACAAATAATACTAGATTCTAGAATGATTTGTTATCCTTTTGTAGAAGATAAAGCATGGCTTAAAATTTATGTTTTGCTTTTATTTTACCGAAATTTTTTACAACCCCATCACGTAAATATATGCCGGTCTTACCTCAAATATGAGAAAATTATTTATTTAAATGAATTGCGACCTTATAGGTATGAAACTAAATCACATATTTCAAGGACATTTGTTACTTTATCGAAAGAAAATGTTTCCATCTGTGAAATCTATCAAATTTAGTGTAGAATAGACTAGACTAGACGGACTTACCTCAAACAGTAGGGAAAGTCCGTTTAGACGCCGATTTAAAAAAAGTACGTCTACTTAAGCGTTATTTGACTTTAAAGCAATTACAAGTGTTTTTAAAATAGCCAAGAAAATATTTTTCATCATTTGTAATTATAAGAATTAACCTAGCATGTATAGTTAGTTCCATTAGTTTGGATCAATCAAACTTAACTATTGAAAAAGTATGCCGGTCTTCCCCACATTTACCTTACGTCATTTTAGAAAGAAACTCGCAAAAACAAGAGCATAAATGTATAAATAATAGAGCATAAAAAATAAAATATTATTTTGGATTTACTAGATTGGATAAGTCGAAAAAAAAACAACATTTTTGAATATCTACTTAATTAATGACGTGTTGTCTAGGAGACAGCTAGCTACTATTGGCTATGTGTGTATGTTTTTCTATTACATGATGGAGGTATAACCGGACAGTTTTAGTAATTTTAGGATCTTATTTTAATTATTTATAAAAACCAAACAGACACAGGCAGAACAAAAAGACAAACAGTGATTTTATCATTTTTCATTTAAAACAATGTTAGCTCTGATGTAATTAATAATTATGCAGGGAGAAAACGGAGGAATATGTTTGCATGGATAAAACACTTTCCTTATAAAAAATAAAAATATAAATTACTTCGCAACCTTCCGCTAAATAAATACAATGATGTGTCTTACCTGGATTGAAGAGCACCTCCCGACCTCCCTCAATTGCATGCACTAACTCCGTCACCACTACTCCCAGCCACCACTATTCCAGGTAAGACACACCATCGACGATAATACGACACGTGTTTCGCTTCTACACGAGGCATCCTCAGGTAATGTAGACTCTACGGCCACTTACGGTCACTTAGCGGTCAGCCGCCGTAGAGTCTACATTACCTGAGGATGCCTCGTGTAGAGGCAAAACACGTCTCGTATTATCGTCGATGGTGTGTCTTACCTGGAATAGTGGTGTTGGGAGTAGTGGTGCTGGGACTAGTGGTGACGGCGTTAGTGCATGCAATTGAGGGAGGGCGGGTGGTGCTCTTCAATCCAGGTAAGACACATCATTGTATTTATTTATCGGAAGGTTGCGAAGTAATTTATATTTTTATTTTTTAATATAATGGCTTTCCGCAAAGTAACGCCTGATTCTATCAATTAACTTTCCCTATATCCTATTAACACGAAACCAAGCAGCACAATTCTGTTAATTAACGCTGGTATGTTGTGAGCGTAGTTATAAGGGGCCATTCGTTAATGATGTAAGTCATGCCCGAAGGGAAGGGGGCTTGAAACTATATTCTAGATGACTTTATCTTGGGGGTAGGCGATAAAACCCATTCTTACGTAATATTTAGTAAGTTGAAATTTAATATTAGAAATCTAGTTCCACTATTCCACTGTCAAATGAAGTTTCATCTACCACTGCATCTGATAAGTTAGGTACCAATTGTTTCCGATTGGACAACATGGCTTACTAACCCATTTAGTCCAGAGGACGATTAATAATCTGGTCTTGCTTTAGCTTTTACTGTCTCAATTAATTTAAAACTAGTCGATCATTATTTTAAAAGTAATATTCGCTCGTAGATTGTTTAACTAATTTATGTTTGCTCGCTTTAAGATTATTTAAAAAGTTACTTTTAATTATAATGATATTCCAAAGACTATATACTATCTCAACTAGTTGTCTAGTAATAATATAATGATAATCTATATCTGACAGCAATAAAAATGTACAACCTAAATTATCTGTGAAAATTATTTTATTTACGTCGAACTGTGAGTTTTAGTGTAACTGATCCTTTTCTAACATTTTATTATTGTGAAAAACGAGATAGAATCTTACGTAAAAAGAAGTTCAAGAAATCTTATGTACCTTTACATGGGGTAGGGAAGGGGGGTCAAGTCAAGGTGTCAAAATCGTCAAAACCATCTTTACGTAATTAATGAATGGCCCCTATCCGTGTAGTTGCGGTGTAAGAATATCCACTATCCTATGTTATCTCGAGCCGTGGTAGCTCAGTGGTTAACGCTCGCTGTAAATATAACAGAACGCGAGTAACCCGGGTTCGATCCCCGCCGGCACCAATGTAATTATTAATTGCAATTTTAAGTGCTGATTTACCACGTGCTCGGCGGTGAAGGAAAACATCGTGAGGAAACCTGCATGTCTGAGGAATAAGAAAAAAAAATATTTCGAAGACATGTGAAGTTCGTCAACACGCATTTGGGCAGCGCGGCGGACACTTCCTTGCCCTAAACCCTCTCAGAAATGAGGGGAGGCCTGAGCCCAGCAGTGGGACGTATATAGGCTGTAACTATGTTATCTCAGGGGTGTCTTAAGAGACGATAAAAGGAAACCAGAATGTAGGCAGTAGCCTCTTTCTAACAACAAATAGAAAATTAAAATTGCATTTGCCAACCCGTAGGCACAGTGTGGCAACTATGGTAAATATCCCTATTATGAGGTTACCAATGGTGAGACATATATTTAACAGTGAACTACGATAGGCTGTAATGAATAATGGATGAAAAAAATCATTAGTATAATGCGAAGCATTGTTAACTGTGTAGTGGTGCCGTAAGAAACAGAGGAAAACTAAAACAGGATATAAGCAGCAGCGTCTCTCTAATAACAACTAAAATATAAAACTGCGGTTGCTAACATGCTCACCAAGCTTGCAACTATGGCAAAATCGCTTCCATGAGGCAATCTATGGGGTATGTTTAGTAGTATTTGACAGGCTGTAACAGTAATGTTTGGATGGTCATTCTCATTCGAGGCGACCTGCGTTGCAGCGGTATATGTATTACTACAGTTGTAGCAGGTAAGAATTATTCGTAATAATAATATCTATCAGACCGAAATTTGATTACAGCGGCTAGTCTCAACGAAGAATAACCTGCGCTGGACAGGATTATAGTTGCACGAGTGTATTGCGCAAGCACAGGGGCACTCTTTATTTTCTCAGGTACAAAAGAACTTTTATAGAGTATAATGGATGGATGGTTAGTATCGAGTGCGGGTGTGCCTGCGAGTGCGTGTGTGTTTGTGTGCATGCGGGTGTGCGTGCATAGTTGGGGGTGCGTGCGTGTTAGTGCGTGTGGATACGTGCACGTGAGTGCGTGTGCGTGCGGCACCTGGTGCGCGTGGTGCGCGGGGCCGAGCAGCAGGCGCGCCGGCGCGCGCACGCCGCCCGCCGCCGCGTGCGCAGCATGCGCCGCCGTCATCAGCCTGACACAAACACCACACGTTTTTTAAATTTACTTCCTTCTTAGGCTATGAAAACTTCCAAATGAAGCGTACAATTTCCAGTTTTTGTTTTAATTATAGTCCACCAAATCTAAGAAATACCTTTTGACGCTTCACATTACTCATTCCGCAATAACTTTGCATAAGCATACTCATACGATTTACAATAACCTTTTACCGAAATCCGAAGAATTATGAAGTTATCTATATTTAATTACAACATGTTTAGTTTTTTATCGCTAATTTAAATTTGAATCTTTCAAAGAAAGCAAAATATTAAAAAAAATAACCAGTATCAACTATTTTACTTGACGTCGTTTCAATGATATATCGCTATGTGCCTTACCGTAGTGTTTGGATGATTAAAATTCGTTGATATGCGAATAATCGGCAAAAAAATTCAAGTAATCGTTAAAAATATTCAAATAATCGAATCAGTAATTTTTAATGTATTTTTGTTTAATTAAATTTTTATTTTTAAAATTCCTTAAATTACATGAATCACGAATAAAACAAGTTTTTTTTACTTTGTCAATGTAAAGGACAATGGTGAACTTCCAAATAAATTTTAGTTGACTCTTTTTTCTTGCGTCTACAAATGCAAAATATGTAAAAATATAGATTAAGATCCTGAACATTTTTTTCTTCGGTCATACTACTGCAGGAAGTCAGGAATTAGAGATATTCCAGTTTAAACAAAATACACATCAGACTAGTCTGTATGGTATAAAACGCCTTAACTGGTAAATAATGGTTACAACAACTAGTCAATATAACTTTCATATATGTTTATATAGGGTAGTTACTAGCATAGAGGGAATCCTTAAAGAACGTATAAGTATATATTGAAGAGTTTTCTAAATAAAATACACGTCAAACTCGGCTGTATGTTATAAGACCTTTGTCTGTCCTAACTGACGAATCGTAGCAACTACAACAACTAGTTAATTAAGTTTTGAATTGTGCATGATTATTTTTGATATAGCCCATAAGCTTGATCAGATAATATATTATAGTAAATTATTTTATTGATATCTGTAATGGTGACTTAAGTAGACGCTTAATAATTCCATCACCTATTATTTCGCCATTGTCCAGTAGACAAAAAAAACTCATATTCAAGGCCACGCTGAAAAAACCACTACGTAATTTCAATCTCCCGCCATTTCGGGAGCTTACTGTGCGTAATTTTGTCATTTTCTGTTTGTCTTCTTATTTTTTGACTGTTTTAACTTTTTGGACTGTTTCTTCTATATTCGTTGAAGCATGTGCCCATATCAAAAAGTATGATTTGGCAAAAGTGGTAGAAAAAACAAAAAAAAAAGATTATGGATGACTTTGAGAAACATTAATTTTGACTGCATTATTGAAAATCAAATAATAATTATCTAATCTAAACAACGACATCTCAAGTAGTTGTACTGAAAGTGATTGAATAATTTATTTTTAATCTAGTTTCAATCTAAATTTTTTATAATTGTGCCTCTAGAAATAAGCAGTTACAACAAATACGAAGAAACTGATAAATCTTGTGTTTTAAATTATCTGTTTTTAATTTATTCTGGTATTATCCCAACCTAACTATAAATAATTACTAACTCTAAATAATCGATATCGATTTTTTTAAGAATCGATTACTGTACGTACCCATTTTTTGGTTGGCATGCTTGGTAGGTCTGACAGCTGTCAAAATGTATTTCTTAGATTTGGTAGACTATAATTTATGTTTCTTATTTGGATTATTTTTCCTTAGATAAGTTAGATTTCTTGATTAGTAGTGTGTGTTTAGAAGTTAATTTTCTGTTATTTCTGACAAATAAATAAATTTTCTTTCTTTATTTTAAAAGGAGAATGGCTCTACCATTTAATTGATGATTCTCTGCCAATGTCAATGTTGAAAGATATAAAAGATAATGATGCGTTGTCACTCCTAAGAACTTAAATAAGACGCCTCAATTCCAGTAAAAAGTCTCCAGATCTCTACACTCACCATACGAAGCACAAGTCCACTGAGCTGCTATTTTACTCTGGTATTCTGTCATAGGTTGTTGAAGTTTCTTTTTTATTTTCGTGTTTTAAGGAGTTAAGTGAACTATATGAACTGAGCAATAATTTACACATTGTTGGTGTCGATGATTACACACCTCAGCGTGCCAGCGGCTGACGGCTCGTGGTCGGGCGGGGGAGCGCCCCCTTGTAAGCGAATACTCAGCATGTTGGCCAGCGCTGTCTTTGTCTTTGGGTTTACTAACAGTGTGTTGCCAGCTGCACCTGCTAAAAATCGAGTCAAGACATTTTCTATTTTAAGTAAACATTTACTATTTTTTCAATTTAATTATACAAGTCCTGAAAATTTCGAAGTAAGTTTAAAATAATACAGACTAAAGAGACTTTAGAATGCATAATATGTTATTCTTCTTCCTTTCCTGTACATGTCCATTGGATTTTGATGGGCCTTTCCTGTTGCAAGGAGGATTCGAACAACTAGCTTTTAGTTTTGAGGTCATATACTCACATAAACAAACAAAATAGTATCAATGACGGCTCATTTGATTATTTGAGATTATTTAATAATTTTTTTCTGTCGCAGTAATCGGTTATCATTCGCTCTGGCGCAACACCCAGAGCTAGTGTGGGAAAAAAGAGCGGAGCCACGAAGCAATCTGTTCGTTCATCACGAATAAGCGCTACGTTTTTGGTGGAGTGTCTAGTGATTCAGTGTCTCTAACAATGTTGTCATAAGATCCTGATTATATTTTGTGTCAAGTACGTCGTTTCATTCTCCTTGCCCGATCACCCACATCCTATTAAAATCAACAATGGATCCAAATGATATTGTGGACGGCCTTGACGTCCCTTTTCTCACAGTAACGTAGTTTTTGCGTACCCCTCTGAATTATATATCTCCCATAACTTATTGTACGTCCACTATGGCCAATTTTGCATATAATGTGGCGTCAACCTGCTTACGACGTCCAATATACGGACGTCAAATAGGAGACCTAGCGCAATGTTCGCAAATTATCATGCTGATCACAGAAATGTCAAAATCTAAAAAAAAATTGGACGTCATTTTTCTTCCAATCTTGCAGTACTGAATATTTACGTAGTTCCGCTAATTTTCGCTGCAAAAATAATAGCGCTGCTGCCGATTTGTGAATACTTTCATTTATGGCCGTATTTGACTTTCGCACAAAATTAGAAGATGCGACGTTGCCGTTCCGTCACCGTTGCCAACGTGTTACTTGTATTTAGTGATATATGGTTATGACTGCCTCGTCGGTCTAGTGGTTGTAGTAGTGCGACTGCTGATCGTGAGGTCCTGGGTTCGAATCCCAGGTCGGGCCAAAAAATCAATTATTGAGTTTTTCTGTCAAGAAATTCTCAATAGCTGCCCGGAGTCAGGAAGTTGGCGGTGTATTCGCCCCGTGCCTCGGAAAGCACGTAAAGCCGTTGGTCCTGCGCCTGATCTCTCACCGGTCGTGTCGGTTTACCGTCCCATCGGATTATGAGAATGAGGGAATAGAGAGTGCACCTGCGGTTGCGCATACACTTGGGCACTATAATCCTGTCCTGCGCCGATGGCTAGTCTCCATTGAGGCAGGCCGCTGTGACCGTAATTCGGTCTGCAGGACATTTTTATATGGTTTATACTGCGCTTGGTACTAGTAATTTTAGTTTCAAACTTGTTTTCTACCTTACATTTATCTACATATAATATGGACGTCCGAATATCCTGAAACTTTCATACTGAATGATATTTGACACCCGTATTTTTTTGAATTTAGTTATATTTTTATAAATGTAGATGCGTACGTCAGCTTATCGGTTTATTTCATGCTGCACTATATTTGAACATTTTACATTTTACTAATCTACCTAAAAGAACTCTTGTTAGGTATTTCGTAAGCAACCCATAATTCTGTTTGAGTATAAGTTACTTTCTGATTGAGTACACGAAGATGGACCCAATTGTAGATATTGACAGGTTTCATAGAAGTTTGTTTTATTATATTGTGACTAGCACACAATCTCTGACTAATAACCTAATATAATAGTCTGGCGAAGAAACTCATTTTAATATAAGGTTTTATTGCATTAACTGCCAATAGGTTGTTAATTTCTACAATAGACCGTGGCATATTGTTGCCGACATAACTCCGAAAATATAATTTATTTACTTGATCGTGTTGCATATATCATGCATATATCAGCTTATTTTCTAATGATCCAATTATTATTTATGTCGCCACAAGGGTATAGTATAACCGTCTCGTTTATACCTAATGTATAATACCTAAACTGTTGACGAGGAGCAGCGTCAAAGGTGCAAAACAATTGTTACTGGTACAACCAATGCGGCTGCGTATCATCCTTACTACGAGAGAAATTCAGCCCAGCAGTGAGCTTTTACTTGCTGATGAAGAAGAATCTAGAGTTTAATCATTGAAAGCAACTTACCTTGCTGCTGTTCAGGCGTCGGTGTCAATAGAGCAGCGTCGACCGGTTGCTCAGTCAACGTCGTCGCACCCACCACATGCTGTGTTACACCGGGGCCCACCTAAAAAAAATGGTGGGATTTGTTTTTTATCATTTATATCTTCTTTGTCAGTATGAAGATGTCTACTGCTGGACATGATCCTTGCCTATCGCTCAGAAGTGCCTCGATTTTATTTCTTTCTAATGGTCCTCCACACACATACTCTCTTTATAGGATAAGGTGATAAACGAGCACACAGTCCACCTGGTGGATGGTAAGTCGTTGTCGCCCGTGAGGACTAAGATGGGATGCCTCGTTTCCAGTAAAAAGGGTCTCCGGTTCTCTACACTCACCATACGAAACACAGCAGCATTAAGCTACTATTTCACGCTGGTATTCTGTGAGCGCGTGGTCCTTCCCCGGTCGAGCCGACCCATTCCTGCTACAACTACTAATATAACTGCAGCATGGCTTTACCACGGTCTATCTGTCTTGTAGTTGCTTCAAGCACTGGTACTGAAGCAGGATGGGCACGCTCACCTGTTTAACGGCGGCGTGATGATGCGCCACGTGCTCCCTCTGCGCCTGCAACTGCTGCAGACGCTGGTACTGCTGCTGGCGTTGCAGCTGCTGCAGCTGCGTCTCTACCGCCCCGCCACCTGCGCCCGTGCCCGCGCCCACGGGACTCGCCACCGGGGCACCGCCAACTGCAAGCACGGATAAATATTTTCAAGTTAGAACCAACAACATTAGATGAAGGTGCCCCCCCACCACCTTCATCATCCAATGTTGGTGGTTATTGGTTGGTTGGGGGTATTCATTAAGCAATTTATTAATATTATTAACATGAAGTCCTCATGTTAATAATATTAATAAATTGCTACATAACAAGTTTTGACATTCTGAGAAGTCCCCTAATGCACAATATGTCATAATAAAAAGACTTCTATGTATACTATTACCTAGCAATTCGGAACAAAAACTGTATTACAGCTGTGGATCGCCAGAGCAGCTGGCATGATTAATGTGCCACGTACTTGTATTTTCAATTACGACAGTTAATTTTTTTAGGCAATTATACGACATAAAGTTACATACTTATCTGAAATAAACTTTAAATCACGTTGACAAAAGGCGTATATAAATAAAGACAGCATTTTCTTAGTCACATCACATTAAACAAAATCAGTGCTTTAAATTGTTGAAAATAACGCTCGCGGTTTATAACAAAGAACTCGTCTTCTCAGCTCATCGCAGTCGACTAAAGCATTTACAGAGATTTGGCCGAGATTGAAAACTTAAAGCGCAAAGTATTATGGCTCTAGTAGTATATATAGAAGTCTAGTAGTATACATAGAAGTCTAGTAGAATACATGGAAGTCTAGTAGTATACATGGACGTCCAGTAGTATACATGGAAGTCTAGTAGTATACATGGAAGTCTAGAAGCATACATGTAGAAGTATAGTCTTTTCCATAAATATATATATATATATATTTCAATTTTTAACTAGCTGTCTAAGTTTCATTGGTTTTAAATTTTTTACCGAATAGTAATCCTTTTTATAAAGTGAAAGTAACGGAAGTTACTTTTTTTATGGAATATGGGTGACAAACGAGCATACAGTCCGCCTGATGGTAAGTGGATGATGTGGCCCATAGACATCTACATTTATCCTTGATTAAGAATCTAAACGCAGATACGTTGTCACCCCTGAGGACTAAAATAGAATGCATCGTTTACAGTAAAAAAGGTCTTCAGATCTCTACTCTCACCATATGAAACACAGCAGTATTAAGCTGCTATTTTACGCTGGTATTCTGTGAGAGCATGGTCCTTCCCCGGTCGAGCCTATCCATTCGTGCTACAACCATAATATAGCGGCAGCGTGGCTCTACCACGTGTACACTGCTTATAACTTCAGCTATTTGCCAGTCAAAATAGGTCAGCCATTTCGGAGATTAGCCGGAACAAACAGACAGACAGATAGACAATTTTTTTTAATTGGTGTTTTTATTAAAAGTACCGTACATAATTTCATAAACATTTTGTAAAAAGCTGTTATTTTGAGATTCCAAACACATACTTAGATATTATTTATTTGGGTAAATACTTGATATTTTTTAAAAGACAGGTTTGTTATTGATTAGATAAATGTATATCGCTGAAAATAACAAATAAATATTAAGTAAGCGCCCCCGGTCACCCTCTATAGGGAAAGAGTAAGGGTCCAGCTTAATAATATCGCTTTTAATAACTTCGTCAAAAACAACAACGTAGTTTGATAATGATTTTTTATATTTACGCGAACACTACACATTGAAATAATACTAGTTTTTATAGTTAAATATACGCGATAAAATCCGCAACAACTAGTATTATTTCAACGTAGTTTGATATAAAATGTTTGTATAAATAAAATCGATCACAATTTAGGTATTGATATCAGAATTAAAGTAATCTTTTGAGTTTGTAGTAGGTACTTTTATTCTATTTTTATTTAGATTTATAAAAATCAGAATTGCGACATAACCGCTTTGTTAGTTTTTAGTCACTTTTACGGGATGAAATTTGACTTACAATCGGATTCAATAAAATCCATCACGTAACTGTTAATTATCACAAAGTTAAGCACTTTCTAACAAACTAAATTCTAAAAATCTTTATGACGTAATTCCAGAATACTCCATAAAGCACTTGTAACGGTTGGTACAGAGAGAAATACTAAATCTAGTCGATGTTGGTTTAGAAGTAAGCAGCTTTGAATTTATAATGTTTGATCAGGAGTCATCACATAACTATGTATGAAGCGTAATCTCAATACCAAAACTCCTAAGTCCGAGCATTTCTCCGGGACTGCTTAAGGTTTTTTTAACCGATTTGTAATGTTTTATTCACGGATGGGGTTAATAGCAGTGTCGGAAGAACAATTTCGAAAATTTGATATTACGTGGATAACTTTTTACTTGAGATACAAAGATAATCTTATTACTTTCAAAAATTTTAGACAAGTGTTTCATATATTTAACGTTAAATTATCTTTTCCTTGAATTAAATTAGCACTTTATTATTTATGGCACATTTGAGACACGCTTAAAAACGAATGAAGTTAAATAACTAATGGTAAGTTCTTGATCAAATTTTTATAGGACCACATGAGAAGCACCAGCTTTCAAATAAAAAAGGAATCATCAATATCGGTTCATCTAGAAAAAAGTTCTAAGGTAACACGCATAAAAAATACAGTCGAATTGAGGACTTACTCTTTTTTGAAGTCGGTTAACAAAGCATATCATCTAATCTATATATAAATCATCACAATTCAGATATTAAAAACAAACAGTGTTTAAAGAAGAAGTCTTATTTTAAACACTTCTTTGTGTTCACTATACCATTGTAGGAGATTGACGATCAGATCGAACAGTACCAGAGTTTTCGCACCTTTGACGCGGTATTTTACATATAACATAAATGGTTGTAGCTCCTTATCACACGGAACAGAGTGGTACCACAGCTTAAAGACCTTACAGTTGTGAAACGCCTCTGATGTCAGGCGATTCCACCACCCGCGTAGGTATTCAGGCAGCCAGCATGTATGTTAGGGGGTTGTCACGAAAATGGAAATAAAATAATTTTGGATATTATAATACTCATCATTATCATTTATTAACATTATGTACATACTTATAAGTAAAAAACATTTATTGAACAAATTCATTTTTATTTACAAGTGTTGCACTGACAAATATTTTCGTGACACTTTCTTTTTAAAGATGTTTTTAGTAGGTATATAATATATACATACATAATATATGCATATATAATATATACATATATAAAAATTACGTGTCACGTTGTTTGTCCGCGATGGGATCCCTAAACTACTCAACCGATTTTAATAAAATTTTCACACCGTGTGCAGTTTGGTTAACTTGAGACGTAGAATAGTTTTTTTTACCCATGAGTGACCCAGATTTTTTTTTGTTAATTTAAGGATTTTTAATAGGACATGACAAAGGGTCGTCGAAAAGGGCACAACAACGTCTGTCTGGCAAGCTAGCATATTATAATATGTAGTGTATTCGCATTCGGATAATATAATAAGCATGGCCGTCGTTTGAATTCAATTTTACTTAGTAACTCACATAACTATAACAGCAATTCGCGTTCGTATGTATTGTCTATCAGACTTAGGGTATGTTCCAAAATAGAACCCAGTGCACTGTCCAATGCAAATGACGTCATGAATCGACGCCATACTGGTGATTCGTTCCAAAATATAGGACAGTATATGAGGTCATACCTTTGCGCCATATTGGAAAAGTGTTGGCGATTATTTTGTCATTTTGTGCTCCAAAAATCGTTATATCCTCCTAATGGAGATACCAGCAATTATTCTATAATTTTTTGTATTTGAATAAATAAAAACAAATTCTGGCATGTTTCATTCAATTTACACACAATTAAAAATTGTTTAAATATAGCCGGATATCCGACACAATATGGCGGCGGCACGCCAGTACAATATGGCGTCAATTGATAACGTCATTTGTATTCAGCAGTATACTGGAAACGTTTCGCAACATACCCTTAATGAAGTGCGCTAGCACAAGGTTGGCTCACCCCCTGCCCCGCAAGGCCCCACAGTTGCTCTACACAAGTACAGTCGTTTCCCAACTATAAGGAGGTCTTTAAACTGTGGTCATGTACGCACGCACGCACGCGCACCGTTTTTTGTAGTTGCTTATTATTTTTTGCAACAGTGCCAACATTAACTTGCAACATCAACATAAAATTGTTATAACTTACGTTTTGGAGAATACTTGTACTGTATCGATAATGAAATTATAATAATAAGAACTAAGAATAGGGAAGGAAACTAGCCCCTGAAATACAGGTATAATATGCTAGTTTGAGACTGTTGAGCACCGTAAATTATTGTGCATGTAATATATGTTTATCAATAAAGATTATTATTAATAATTTTGAATAACTTTTGACTGTACAAAATCACTCTTTATATTTAACGACCAATACGGCGGGAGTAAACGCGGCTAACGGTTTAGTCTAAAATTTATTTAAATTTTAAACGCAGTACGAAATACGAGGTAACGCGTGACAGTGTGTGACAAAATGATTGGCATGTGATAATAGCGTGTCATCTTACCTGGCGATTGTGGCGGTTGTGTTGGCGCCGGGGTGGGAATAGTTGCCGCACGAGCGCCTTGCTGTTGTAGCCATTGCACCTTGAATATGTATATTTTTGAAATATATTATCATGCAGTTTACAGTACGGAGTAAAGAAGAGCATTGTTGCAAGGACGGTTATTTAAAGTATCGTGATTTCACAGTCACTTTTACTTGAAGCGATAGAGACAGCACCGCGTCTTAAAAAGTGAGTAGCATTTGAGCGACGCGATAATTTCCAAAACACACGATTTCAAAAAAAAAAAAATAATACCGAGCAAAGCTCATCCAGGTACTATATATATATTTTACTAGCAGAAAATGCAGCATTAAGAATTCAGCTTTAAGTTCGCCTTTTGATTCTATACTGTGTAAAAGTTCAATAAATATTAAATAAATAAACAGCCACCATGAGAAGTGACCGCCGTGTTGTAACAGCGTAAGAGAATCCACCAGCACACAATATCATCCCACGGGTGTCGTAAGAGGCGACAGAGGGAAGAGAAACAAGAAATGGGCAGCAGGATATGAAAACTGCGGTTTGCAACCCGCCTGTTTAGTGTGGCAACTATGGCAAATTATAAAATTTTATGGGGAAGGCCTATGTTAGGCAGTGTGGAGACCATGACCACCGCGATAAGCTGGTGAATTAAATATCGCTATACTAACTGTGTCCCACCTATAACTTCCGGTGAATAAATCTTCTCTTTTTATTAAGCTGCTATTTTACGCTGATATTCTATGAGAGCGTGGTCCTACCCCGGTCGAGTCGACCCATTAATGCTACAACTATAATATAGCTGCAGTGTGGCTCTACCTACTTCCTGCAATATAACACTTACTTGCTGCTGCTGAGTGAGTCCAGGGGGCAGTTGACTGCGTATGAAGGTGACACTTTGTGGAGCTGGTGTAGGTGAACTGCCGGCACCAGCCACGCCACCCGGTTGCTGTTGATAATGTATCGTTGTTTTAAAAAAAATTATTCACATGTCCCACGGCAAGTCAAGTCTCCTATAATTGTAAGAGTAAAGTATTTAGCTCCACTTTACTCTAAACTCTCTCTCGCGTAAATCTACTAACAACGAAGCTTTCGAACGAAACAACCACAATAGACGTAAAACACTGAATATATGAATAACTACAGATGTGCCAAAATATAAAATATAATGTAGGTAGAATAATATCACTAGAGTCAACGACAGTGCAATCAAAATGCGAACATCGAATTGGTTGTCGATTAGACGATGCCATAAATTAAATAATAGTAGGTACTATGTAACGATACATAGTGACATTACATATTTTGAGTTTTTAATAAGGAATCAAAAGTAAATATTTATTTGATGTATAATATAACAATGGCAAGTAATTTAGATTTAAATTATAAGCTCATTAGCATACAGCTTACGATTAATGATATATAGCTTCCTCAAAAGTAGTAAATGGAGGTTAAAGGTTATGGTATATGCCCACAATTGGATTTTTTTCACCAAATTGTTACTTTATTTTAAGAAATTATTACTATTATAATTATATAATAATTGATAGCTTGTTTTCCTGCTTTTAGCCAACTTCTAAAAAGGAGGATGTTAACATTTCGACTGTGTTTTTTTTTTTTGTAAGAATGTTACACGATACTTCGTCATATGTAGACCGATTTCGAAGATTCTTTTTATTTTTTTAAATTAATAAATATGTTACACTTCAGGGGTGATACCATATAAATTTGGAGAAAATTTAAGTGTGGCAAAATATAGTTTATAATGGAACATTTCAGGTGGAATCAGGATTGTGATATTTTTATAGAATATGTCGTAGCATAGTTGTTTTAAGTTGGCTTTTATTTTTTATTAAAAGTTATCTTTAATATACTCGTGTATATAATTCTTCTGTCCGTATGTATATGACTGAACTCATAAACGGCTGCAAGGTGTTTGATGAAATTTTGTGTGCGATTAAGTTGATTCGTGAATAGTTTAGATTCACAATCGAGCCCGTAAGGTGGCACTGTTGACGAGATCCATAAATCACCCGTACGTAGCCGGGGCGGTCACTACTTTTTAGTTTTTTTTTTTGCGCACGTACTCACGCACGCACGCACACGCACACGCACACACACACTACACATCTCAACACTATATACTATACACTTCGGAGCGAAAGTGGAGAGTGTAGCTCACTCATGTATACCTCTAATGGAGAGTGCTTTGTTTCAATGCACACATTTTCTGATTCTGCTAACATATGGGGTGGCGGTGAGAGTGCTCTACAATAATTAATGTTACGATTAACTCCATCATATACAAAAAATCAATCAAAAACATTCAATACTATTATATGTTTAGAGATAAGCCATGATACCCCATACATTTGTAAATTAAATGACAACAGATTATATCTTCATTTTAAGCGGTTTAAATAGGTCCAGACTGTAAGAAATTAGTTTCTAACGATTTATTACTGTCATGCTGTGCCCGAACGACCCAACTACAGCTTGGACAACTACAGCTCGGAATTATCGAAACAGACTGGGACGACGAAATCATCATTTCTGTTGTGGTGTGTTGTTTCTTCTTTCAAATCTACACAGTTTTTTTTTTCAAGGACAATATAATATGGATTGTGGCTGTCTGTATGGTGCCCTTTTATTTTTTATGTTAATTAAATTTGCCTGCTGGACAATTGCAGCCAGTTTAGATTCCTGGTTTAAAAAAAATTAATATATGAAAAATACATAACATAGGAACAGGGCAGTATTTGTTCTATAAATATAATATGTTGTTTTAGCATCATTGTCCACACAAAAGAGTGAAATACATCTGAATGTACTACACGCCGCCTGGCCAGGCCATCGCAGAATGCTAGCTGGAATGTAGTTACTTTGAAAATTTGCCCATACATACCAGGCTGGGCAGGATGGTAATCAAACGAAAGCCGGTACTTTATGCCTCTGCTCATCACCTGTGTGTAGAATTTCGGTTCAGGGTTTTGGAAGGATTTGCATATCAATTGAAATCTTCCTGATAAACTGCGTTTAACTAATACCTACTACGTATAATAAAAATATAATAGCGTTTGCCAACCTATGACAAAATGCCCCCATATAAGCAATCATGGGGGGGCCTATATGTTCAGCAGTGAACTTATAATAGGCTATATGAATGAATAAATTAATCAATGCATCTATTTATTATAATCCTTTAAAACACCCCAAAATGTGGTTGTCGTAAAAAATTAAAAAGTCACTAAATATTTCAACTATCATTTATTTTAACGAAAATCAGGATCAACTCGATAAAAATTAACTTTTTGGATCAGGACTGCTCGTTTGTTGCTTTAATCTCTGAAGAAAAGAAATAAAAAGGTTTGAGTTCAAAGGAAAAATATATCACGAAACTGGACAATCACAACACATATTTAAAAGACATATTTATTTTGTTTTAATCAATTAAAATTAAAACAAAATAAAAAGAATGAAATTTGAGGTGTGCAAAAACAATCTTTTCTTCCTCGTTCATAAATAAAGGAAATGGTGTGTTTAAGATAAAGGCATTTCAGCTATAAGTGACGGTAAATGACTAAATTTATTTTTCAATAATCTACCTAATTAATAAAATCAGGCATTACTTTGAGGAAATTACATTGTTTTAATAAACAACGATTATCAGTAAAAACTAATAATGTACTCCAGACCGAGTTTCAGTCACCGGAGACATACCATTTACGCAAGACAGGACTATACTGTTAGAGTGGATGTGCCAGCACAAGTGCACTCTCTATTCCCTCACTCTCATAATCCAATGGAACGATTATCCAACACAACCGGAGACGGAATGGACGAGGCGCAGGACCAATGGATTTAAATGCTTTCCGAGGCACAGGGGTCAAACACCGCCATCTTTATGACATGGCCCTGCTACTGAGAATCTGTTGACATAAAATGACTGACTTTGGACTAACTTTTGACTGATAAGAACCTGGCACCACATGACGATCAGTCACGCGTACGACCACTAGACTAACGAGGCAGTCAAAGAAAAAGCAATAAGCTGGTATTACATCTGTAATAGAAGTGAGAATTATGCAAATGCAATATGGGTTCGCTTTCTGGCTAAATGAAGCCAAGATCTATGCAAGGCTTAACAGTAACAGGATGCGTTAACTGAAGATCGGAAGAGAGAAGACCGACTAGCTATTGTCTAGATAAAAACCAATTTTAAGTTTTGCAACTAAATTGGCAACATTGAAGATGATTAAATTAAGAGAACTATTACTATTAAGCATATATGCGTAGATATATGGATGTGAAAGAAGAGATAGAGGTGTTTCAGGAATGTAGTAAACGGTAGTCCATAGTCTCTGCCTCTAGGTGAATATATATATTTATAGAAAAGGGGGCAAAGGAGCATACGGTTCACCTGATGTTAAGTGACTGCCGCCGCCCATGAACATCCGCAACACGAGGGGAACTGCAGGTGCATTGCCGGCCCTTTAGAAAGGAGTACGAGTGCACCTGTGCTTGCACATACAATTGGACACTATAACCCCGTTCTGTGCAAATGGCTAGTCTCCGGCTGGTCGCCTGACCAAAATTCAGTCTGGAGAACATTATTATAATAAAGCAAATCTTTGTTACTGAAAAAAAATCATTTCCTGTCCTTGTCTGAAATATTGATTATTAAATTTTATAACAGCATACATCTGAAATTTTACAAATAATTTTAAAAATATTCTGAAAAGAAGCATGGACATTGCATGTCATAAAATCAATATTTTAATTAAATTGAGCAGTATTTGCCTGATTTTTTACAGAACATTTTCTATACTAAAAATATATTTTCCATATTTTTGATGAAGTGTTAATTAAACAGTTCAGATTACTAAGTACACTTAGTATTCAATTATTATTTAGAATTCTAGACCTACTAGTATATAAAATATCTCTGTAAGACCTACTACCTACTTACTAGTATGTATATGAAGGGCATAAAATGTACAACATGTGCAATTCTGAGAGTGTGACCAATAACCCAACTAGTATCACATTGCCACAATACATTGAGCTGTAGGTGGTTATTATACGTCTACATACTAACTGAGACATGCATAGTGATGTCAAGCACCACATATAATGTTATATAAATATTGGCTGCGTTTGGCAGAAAAAAGCGCTAGGAAGGGCTTGTAAGCAAAATGGCGAAACTATACAGTTTTCGGTCAGGACACGTTTGCTAACTTCAGTAGCACTGACACAATCCGCCATTTTGCTTATTTATTGTGTTTGTTTTGAAGTAGAGTTTATAAGTTGTTTTGTGCAATTAGTTTCAAGTAATATAATGACATGAATAATCATATTTTTTAATAACAAACATGTTATTAAAAATTTATGATTGGTAAGTTTTTAATATGAATACTTTACAAACATATATTCAAATTAGGTTAGGCTCCCCGGTTAAAGCTAACTTAGTGTCCTAGAGGAATAGCTATTTACCATTTAACAGCGCTTACCGCTTACCATCGCCATTTTGCTTACAAGCGCTTCTTTCTGCCAAGCGCAGTCAATTTTAACAAAACTCCCACTTGAGTACTTTAGTTTAACATTCAAATATACAAATAGGACCACATAAATTCTAACATGTCACTAATTAACTATTAATAATACAGTAGGGCCTCGTTATTCCGGAGAAGCAAAAATAAGACCCTTTCCGGATTATCGAGGCATCCGGATTATAGTATGTCATATTTAGTGATTATAAAAATGACCATGTTCTGTTAGGCTAACAAACTTCAAGAGTTTGTCTTTGTTTTTCTTTATGTCGCCTACAGTTGACCTGCCCATACCAAACTTCCGGGCAATGACAGGGTAGCTGTCACTTTTACGTAACATTTCTATAATCCGCAATTTGTCTTTTATTGTTAATGTTGAATGTTTACGTGGCGGCGCCATGATGTTAGCGAATTGAACGCGCTAAATTGACACTGTACGTACTACACGAAAGACGATAAACAAAAGATTGAAGACGTCTGATAAACAGAAGAATAAGACTAATTGACTAATGGCAGCCCGCAACTGCACCCGCCTGCCTCCCCGGAATCCCATTGCCCGGCCGGATTACAGCGATCACCGAACAAGCGGGAGTCCGGATTACCGAGGCCCTACTGTATTCAAATGTTGGTTAGTCATTTTAGAATCTGCTCAGGCATGTAACATGAAATAATAATGACAAAGATGCAAAATACTGTAGTCTAATTACCTGTTGCTGTGCTAATGCTGCAGCCCTCTGTATAGATAATTGACGCCGCTTCTGTAACTGTGCCACAAACATTGCTCTCTGTTTTGGGTCCATTTGTTGTAGTTGAGCATGGGTTTGTGCATCCAAATGAATAAGCTGCCGTCCACCTCCACCAGCTGTCCACGAAACCTTTGGGGCCATATGGTATGTTCACATATCACAAAGGTATATTTTGAAAATAAATTGATAGTAAATTTTTTGAATGTTACAGACAAAGCGCCGAAGATTTAAAGAATTAAAATAAAAGCGAAGGACATGAGAGTATTGTAATAAATCTAATCTTGGGGCTATGCTATTGAAATTTTTATTTTCTTTAAAGTTTTTAGTTTCAATTCTATAGTGTAAACATTTTTGTATGGTTATTTTATTCTCTAATCTTGTGAGTTTACTCTAAGTGAACTACATTAAAGGAAAAGTTATTAATCATTAAAAACAAATTGGTTAATTTCTTCTTAATTACACAAATACAACATATAACAGGGAACAGAAATGAAGATGATATATAAAACAAAAACTAAGGTTAAATTAGGTATACCATATTAGTCTACTTATTTTACAATACATTTCTAAATTGGGTAACAAGTTTTGTTTGTAATCATCTATAATCTATATACTTAGTAACCCTTACATACTCACATCACAAACTTTTGAAGTTACCTCATAAAATTTTGATTTTATTTATATCGACGCTTTTTTGTTCCCAAAAAGATCTATGATTAAAACAGAGCATTAAGAGAGAAATATGTAAAGTGAAATTAGTTAGTTTAAGACAGGCTATTTTGCAACTCCATGTCTAATCGCGTATTTTGTGTGTGGGCAGGGATATTATGAAAAGTAAAATTATAAGGTAAGAAGATTAATGCAGATTTTTAAATTTCTATAGGAAAATTAACTATAAATTTTTTTTAATAAAAATAATATTGTTTATTTTACCCTTGGTCCTACTGTGCCTGGCTGGCCTATCTGCTGCCTTTGCAAATACTGTTGCTGTTGCCAAGAAACGTTTTGTCCACCTTGCACTATTTGCTGTCCTCCTGGTGAAACAATCTGTTGACCTCCACTATGTGTGATAATTTGTTGAATGTTTCCACCAGCTGTCAGTTGAGATCCAGGCTGTGGGGACTGAGGCACTTGTGACAGAACTTGTTGACCTTGTCCAACAGTCTGCCCAATAATTTGCTGTCCTGTTTGTGACACAATTTGTTGTGACGACTGAGCTATAACAACTTGGTGCTGTTGCCCTTGTTGTGTTATTACATGCTGCCCACCCTGTGATAGTACTTGTTGACCCCCTTGGGTAATAATCTGTTGGCCACCTTGATTGACTATCTGGCCCCCTTGATGAACAATTTGATTCTGAGATACAATCTGCTGGCCGCCCTGCAGAGTCACTTGTTGGTTACCATGCACCAATATTTGCTGTTGCCCTGTGTGTTGATTAATTAACACTTGCTGCGGCGCTTGCACTAGTTGCTGCTGTCCACCGCCATTAAGCAACTGCTGCTTTTGGACCAATATTTGATGGTGAGTTTGACTAATAGTTTGACCTTGAGAACCAATAGACTGTTGTAAGATTTGCTGAGAGGCTTGTTGGATTGTATGCTGCGGACTTAATTGTGCTTGTTGATTGTTTATAAGTGCCTGTTGCTGTGTCTGCATTATCTGTTGCTGTAAAATAACTTGGTTCTGTGGATTGCGAGTTTGCACCAATGGGCTTCTGATTATTTGATGTTGGCCTTGAACATTTTGGACCATTTGTATGTTTTGTTGCCTCCAAGCCCCTTGAACTGGCACATTGCCACTTTGTTGGCTAGTGAGCCCTTGCTGCACTGATTGTATCTGTTGTCCAATAACATTTTGCTGACCAGTATTACTAACAAGCTGATTCAGTTGAACACCCTGGCTATTTTGGCCCTGAGATGATGTTACAAGCCCCTGCTGACTCACCACACCCATGTTTATACTTTGTTGCTGGTTAGTCAAGGATTGCACTGTTTGTTGTTGGATCAAGGTTTGATTTTGAGCTGACAGCTGTTGTCCTGAGTTTATTAGCTGTTGAACCTGAGTCTGGCCCAAATTTTGATTAAGTTTTGCATTCTGCAAACTCTGCTGCAAGTTTTGAGTCGACTGAGCAAGTTGTTGAGCAATATTCTGAACTGCACTTTGCTGGCTTAGACTCAAACTTTGTTTCATGGCTAAGTTCTGCTGGTTTAATTGTGCTTGCTGGAGATTATTAGCACTTTGGCTTAACATTTGACTAATGTTTTCAATTTGCTGCTGTGCAGAGCTCATTGATGTGTTTGGAGATTGGTTTAAGTTTTGATTCTGTTGAATATGGTGCTGATTATTCTGAATATGTTGTTGGATTTGATTTGAAATATTTTGATTGATCTGGGACACAGAAACATTAGATTGTTGAAATCCTTGCTGTTTCTGTTGTAACATTTGCATTCGGAGCTGATGCTGTTGCAACAATTTTTGTTGCTGTATTTGAATGGCAGATAAACCATGTGGTTGTTGTTGTTGTTGCTGCTGCTGTTGCTGCTGTTGTTGCTGCTGCTGTTGCTGCTGCTGTTGTTGCTGCTGTTGTTGCTGCTGTTGTTGCTGCTGCTGTTGTTGCTGCTGTTGTTGATGTTGCTGTTGTAGCTGCTGCTGTTGTAGCTGCTGCTGCTGTTGTTGTATCTGCTGCTGCTGTTGTTGTAGTTGCTGCTGTTGCTGATTTTGATATGAATGCTGTTGTTGCACATTAATTTGTTGACCCTGCATAGTAATACCAGCTTGTGAAACTAAAGTGCTTTGACCAAACTTTTGCATTAGTTGGGTATTAGCCTGACTATTTTGGATTTGGAGATTTTGGGAGACCATACTTTGGGGCATTGATTTGCTAATAATGCCAGCTGTAGACATTGCTGTAGTATAACCCATTGAACTTACAGCCGCAGTAGCTATTGCTGAAGTGTTAGTGTTAGATGATGGAGGATGATTCCAAGGCATCCTCTGCTTAAGTTTATCTAGAAGTGCTTGTGTACTGTCGTCCTTATTTTCAGTCATATTCTGAGTGGGTACTTCATTTTTTGCTATGCCTTCCTCAAAGTCAAACCCAGTTATGGCACTGATACGATCCATTGGTTTAGATGGTGGTTGAGGTATTATTAACAATTTTGGATGAAAAACTTCAGCTACTGCCTGTATTCTAGCCCTCAAACTTTCTAACACCCAGTCCGGGGTTACTATCTTCACTCGAGAAGGAGGCAAAGTAAGGGCTAAACTGTACTTTTTTCCAGATGCAGAACCACAAATAAGATGGGTGCACTTAGAGTCAAAATTCAATTTTATCTTTCCCCCATGATATGTAAGGAGAGCAAACAATGACTTAATGTCTGCTGGGCTTACTTTCGATATGCATGCAACGACATTCGAAAATATTTTATTCTTATTTGGGCTGTATGGTTTTGGATTGGCCAATTTCTTTAAACGGGCGCACGCAAGAACCCAGCTTTCGGTTACAGCTGGAATCTGGTAGATGTCCTGTGCGTCATCGAGATCCGTATCAGCGGCATTTTGACCACAAATTAGATGCGTAACATAGTCTGAGAAATATTTTGTGTTTTCTGCGCCGCCTGACTGCAGCAAGTGCAAAATCTGCAATAACAACGACGCGGCTATAAACAGCGAACGTCAATTTATAAATAACAACGAAAACAAAAAATAAATAAAAACAAACCCTTTCAGAGACATCACCAGAGAGGTAATATTTAACATCCTTAAATATAGGCTCTTGCAAACTCAAAGAATCTAGATCGTCAACAATCGTTACCATTTTCTGTTTTAACAGAGAAATGAAAATTTAGGTTTAAACTAACATTTTTATGGTAAAATCTTTTGAATACGACAGAAACTGATACTAAGCGACGACGTCCATGTTTAATGTTGCCAATTTTTGTTTGCGGCAGCGGCAAAAGGAAACGTACAGGCCTATTGGGTGCGTTTGGCAGAAAAAAGCGCTAGCAAGCGCCTATAAGCGCTGAAATAGTTTTCGGCCAGGACACGATTGCTACTTCAGTAGCGCTGACACAATCCGCCATTTTGCTTATTTAATTTGTTTGTTTTGAAGTAGAGTTTATAAGTTGTTTTGTGCTATATTAGTTTTAAGTAATATAATGACATGAATAAACATATACATGTTATTAAAAATTCATGATTGGTAAGTTTTTAATATGAATACTTTACAAACATATATTTAAATTAGGTTAGGTTCCCCGGTTAAAACTAACATCGTGTCCTGGAGAAAAATAGCTACTTACGATTTGACAGCGCTTACCGCTTACGATCGCCATTTTGCTTACAAGGGCTTGCTAGCGCTTTTTTCTGCCAAACGCACCCAATATATTCTCTTTGGCAGCGGCATGCACAGACGACACAAAGGGTTTTGGCGGGAACTTGGCCGTCGACGGATTGTTGCTCCTATTTTATTGCTTAAATAATGGTTTAAAGTGGATTTTGATTCATAAAGTGACGCGATTTTGTGAATTAAGTGTCTGCGAGTGTAATCTATTAGAGAAAACGACGAAATAAGTGCTTCGATGTTGATATAAACCTCAAGTTATTTTGATCACTTAAGTGCTTATTGAACTTGAGTGACTAGTGTGATTAACTATCCGCTGCGTTGAGCTGTCGCCAAAATCTCTCAAAAACTTCAAAATCGCATCAGCATATTGCGAAGAAAAATCAATAAAAATGAATATCCCGATAGAAATGATGGGCTCAGAAGGGCTAGAACCCAGAGCCGTAAAGCCAGTTAAATAAAAAAGACGACACAGAAATGCGCATGGAGCGCACTGACCTCTATATATACAAGTAGACATGGCAAGTAAACATGGGCAAAGTCGTTTAAATTATTGTATTAACTAACATTAATTTGCCTTCGTAGGCACTCCCTCAGAGGCTCTTAGCCGCCTGCGCCCTCTTTTCCCAAAAGAGGGTCGCTCATGATAAGGCACAATACAGCTTAATCAGCCGGCTGCCTGTCCCCAAAGCGGTTTTTAGAGGGTATCACTTAGGGTCCCCGGTAGGACAGTGAGCCCCTCATAACCACGATAGACCGGCTATCGTGGTGTGCGTAATGCATTTTCCGCCTCCCTACGTATAGGGTAGCCCTTTTAATTGCTTCGGGCGCAAAAAAAAAGCAAAGTCGTCGGCAGTCGGGCGAGAAATCACAACAAGTTCGGATTCGACGGTTGATCGGACATTTTCGTGCGTTATCGGACGATGACGGTCGTGTTTGTGTACGTGCTCTCTTTGTTTTACAAGTGTTTGATTCGATCGTCCGAGATCGGTCGTTGTCGCCCGTGCAAACTTCGGCCTAGACATGGGCAAAGTCGTTATAAGTCAATCACCGTGACTGTTGTTCCAGTTATAAAAATCACTGTGACTTTGTCACGTCGATCACGTCGGATAGGTAACAGAATAGGTATTTGGAACGTTTTGTAATGTGATTATACACAATTTGATATTTAGTCACTTATTACAATATATTGTCATATATTGCCATAATGGCTGAGATCAGTTTTATATACCTACACTAAATACACTGAACTATTCACTATTATTGTTATTTACATAACGAATAAACTAATTTCTAACACTTTGCACGTCGTAATTTGCATCAACACGCAAAGAAAAGGTAAGAAAAAAAATGGCGCCAAATTTATAAGTGCACAAACTTGACAAATTACAATGTAACGATCGACTGTCAAAACGCTAGAATTGCCTGATGATAGTTCAACATTTCACGAAAATATACGACTATCTCCGAAGCACTCCGAACGGCGCAGGCGGGGCGCGGGCGGACACGTTCCGATTTATTCTCGTTCCTCCGTCCGTAACCTTAGCAGTATCGCAGTGACGGGAGTGAGACGGAGTAAATGTGACGGAAAGAAACAACGTTATTTTGGACCGACGTTATCATACAAAAAGTCACTGTGATATTCTCTGGTGGCAGATCACGATGATTTTTTCACTGTGACGTTATTTATCACTCATGTCTATATACAAGTACACTTGCGTACTTGTATATATAGAGGTCAGTGATGGAGCGGCATGGAGTATGAAAGTATCCGTAGAAAATCGTTAAATAAGGGCGGCGCCACTATAGCTACGGGGTAAATTTTAAAGAACGCGCAGAAAAATATTAGTGGGATAGACGTAAACAAAGAAAGAAAAACATCCGCTTTGTTATGGCTCACTTTTCAAAAATTTCAATCTTGTGCGAATACTTTTTTTAACAATCGTATATTTTCTGGCAGAAAGTATAAATATTGATTTTAAAAATTCACTAAATAATAATCCTTAACAATTAAGAAAATAGTCATAAGATGCGATTCAATCATTTTAAATAACAAGTATAATATAAAAAGTTAAATATGAAGATGTGAAGAAGTTTTTAACTCTACTTTTTAAAACTAACAAATTTGAATAAGGTGGTTTTTGAAATAATATCTTCAATTATTATACTTACTGTTGCTTGGAAAAACGATAGCAACTGAGTTTCATTAGCTTCTTTATTTTCTTCATGATTTTTCTTTTACGCCCGTTTGAGCAACTTTTTATTGCACAAACTTTCACCATAATTCTTTATTCATAATAGATAACAATTTTATTGTTTTCAAAATTTTTATATCCAAAATCACTCTCAACGTGTTTCTCGGTGACTTTTTCGAGGTTATATTTACTGAATAAAATTATTTGAGATTTCAGAACTACTGAGCACTTTATCCCACCCACACCCACCGTCGACAACTCCTAAATTCATTTCATACCATGTAGCTACTACAGTTAGCGCTGTTGTGGAAAGTTTTTGAACTGTTATTTTTGGACACTCTTTCAACTATTATCCTATGAGAGAATGTTCTCCTTACCTCTACACTCCATAGTATGGAGGTTAGAGACATGGAGTATAAAGAAGTAAGGAGGACCATCTCCCATAGGAGAATAGTTGAAAACATAGATTTGGTATAAACTCCATAGATTGGGCTTATGAGTAAAAGAGAGCTACCACGCCATACAGTACTTTCGTGTGTTAGAAAGAGAAAGCGAGTGACGTTGTCAGCGAGACTAAACACATATTTGCTGCCGGCACATAACGGTCCGGTCATTTGTGAGCGAATATATTTCGGCTATTTATTATGTGAATTATAGTGATAACTAGTAACTTTATTGTGTTTAATACAATATTTGGTATTTCTTTAGTAATCTGCTGCACGAATAATTGGTCGCCGAGTGAGCGGGTAGAGGGGGGCAGGGGTGAGAACCTCCCCATAAAAGGCGGAAGTGCTGGAAAGCCCCCTTTTTATGATTTTTTTGTAATCTGCCGCATGAATATATGGTCACCGAGTATCTGTCTCCCCCCAGAACCCGTCGGGTCCGGGCGCTGTGTTCTTGGCCCGGAGTCGCGCCACGGCCGCTCTCATCTCTGCTTGCGTTACATTGGGGACATCTTTTTTTTTATATAGGATAGGGTGACAAACGAGCACACAGTCCACCTGATGGTAAGTGGTTGCTGTGGCCCATAGGCATCTACATCTATCCTCGATTACGAATCAAAATGCAGATGCGTTGTCACCCGTGGGGACTAAGATGGAATGCCTCGTTTCCAGTAAAAAGGGTCTCCGGTTCTCTACACTCACCATACGAAATACAGCAGCATTAAGCTACTATTTCACGCTCTCCTCTTCTGGAGAGTCTGTGACTGAGCGTGAAGCCATCGCCGGGGGAACATGTCCCACTCGTTCAGGGAAGAGAGCCGATACCACCGTCTCTAGGAACTGGGGTGGCATTGTTTGCGTTAGTGGAGGCGCCCAGGAAAGCAACTTGCCCCGTACCCAACGGTAGGGGCGCCCCCACGGATCCCGATCTAGGGACCCCAGCAGCTCCTGGCACGCGACTTCACGTCGCCGATGGTCAGCCACAGTGTCTCCTTAGACGAGCGGTACACCTCATATAGCGCGTCTTCTTTGGCGGAATCCCGTCGACGCCGTCTCCGGTATCGGTTGTACTGGCGACGAGCCGCAACGCACGCTATGCGAAATTGCGCGATCTCGGCGGTCCACCAGTACACCTGGTGCCTTGCGGACCGTTGGCGGACACGGGGAATGGACGCGTCGCAGATCTGCGTCATCGCCCCGCGTAACCATAGCGCCACTGTTTCGACGTCGACGGGGCCCGCCGTCGCCGGCTCCCAGATCCAGGACTGGACTAAGGCAGCTTCCTCGAGTAGTTCCCTGTCGATGCGCTTAAACGCCCAACGCGGGTCGTCGTTAATCGGAGTTGTTGGATGGCGGCCGCTCGCAGTCTGGGCAGAGACGTCGAACCGGATATACCGATGATCCGACAACGTCTCCTCCTCTACGGCGACGCGCCAGTCGCGTACTCGGCTGGCGATAGAGGGGCTAACGAGCGAGACGTCCACTATCGACCCGCCTCGCTGGCCTACGACGGCGCCCAACTCGACAAGGAAACCCTCAAAGTCGGCGAGACTCTTGTTGGGGGAGAAAGACGCTCCACGACCACAATAACGATGCCGCCCGAGACCACAGCAACCCAGCCACGGCCCCTAGAAGGGTCGATCAGAGTCTCGCCAATAATGGCCACCAAACCGTTAGCGCATCCCAGCCAGTTGTCACGGGCGGGAATGAAGTACGGTTCGGCGACCACAGCCACGTGAATCGATCACTCTGCCATGCTCTGGAGTAGGAGATCCTGAGCTCTGGCACAGTGGTTGATGTTGCCCTGGAGAAAATGGAACTTTGCCATTATTGACAT